AGTTGGTAACTTTTTCTTCAACTTCAGGTCACCCATTTAGGTCAAGAATTTACCAGACAATTAAGATACAGCAAATCAAAACAAAGCGACTCGATTTGTTTTTCTCGATGGTATTTTTATGTTGACTGTCCAGGGAACAAAGGCCCATCATGCTGAAATGGGGTCCCTGTGGGATTTTGATGGGGCCATTTTATTATAATGCCTGGTTTACTTAAAGACAAAAGAACCTCCGAAACTATGGCTCCAGATAAGTCGTATATGTTCTCTACAACTCCCCCCACCCCCACTACCCACTACCTTCTCCATTCAACAAAATAGACTCGTCTAAGAATCATTCGATTTTATAAGGTCATCATTTAATTTTCTACAGCAATTTTAAGAAAACGTGAGAGGGTCTCTAGTTGCTGCCGGATAACACCCCCCCCCCCCCCTCCACTCAGTGGCTCAATGCGGGCGCGAGTAGTGCGGTACGCACCGGGTGACACGACGATGAAAATCGTAAAATGTACAGTTAAATCAATGTTTTGTACTGTTGAAATAACAAAATAATAAGGGAAAAGTGGTGACTCAGAGCAGAAAATGTAAAATTGTTGAAGGGAGGGTTAGGGTAACCAAGTAGGCTACAACCGCCGTCACTACACAGGGGTGGTTGGTAGCACAGATAAATGGGGCAATGTTGGAATATGAAAACAAACAGAGCCGCTCACAAGATAATCATCTTTACAGTAAGTGTGTCTTTGTGTGTGTCGGTGTGTGTGTGTGTCGGTGTGTGTGTTTGTAGGCGGGGTGGGGAAGAGGAGGGTTAATGTAAATGAATTATTGTATTAATAACAAGAATGTTACATTTTTTTACGTAAGCTATTCACAAATCACATGTAACTGATGTAAAGGCGTACCGTAGAACTAGTGACACATTAAACAGAGATTTACTGAGGTCCAAGGGGACAAAACCAAGCTGAAACTTTAATTTTACAGAAAGCGTTATAGGATTGTCTAGTGTCTCTGGAAGACGAGAGGGGTGGGGGCTGAAGAGGTGTGTAAGGAAGCAATATCAACCCAACACGCTGCATAGATAACACTGTCTTTATTACAATCTTTAGAAGACATTTTTTTCCAATCAAACACTAACAAATGAACCGTTATAATCAATATCTAATGAGGACATTATTTTTTTTTTTTAGAAAAAAGGGCCATAAATAATTTTTTAACTTGTTTTGTTTCAAGCTTTCTTTATCATAAAGGTTATTAATTTTTTATTTGTAAGCAATCGTCTTCAAATCTATAAAATCTATAAATAATTGTGTAAATTAGATTCATATCTTCGACCTTCACCTTGAAACAATATTACAGCAGTTTATATCTCGACTTACAGCATGGCCGCCGCGAATTTCCAGAAAAACCTCCCGGTTGTTACACGTCAAGCTGCAAAAATAAAGCTGACTTCTGCTCTGGGTATGACCGTCTTGCTAGAGGCAGCAAGTATGTGATTTGTGTCGTATTGATTTATTATATGGTTGGGGAATGGTTGTAATCTACAAGATTTTCCCGTTTTTTTACTAGATTTACAGTTTTTCTTGTTTACTTAGAGCAGGCTAGGGTAAACATGTGCACAAAAAAGCCTGACGTAATTTGTATACGATCGCACACATGAAAGTGTGAGTAAAAATGGATCTCAAAGTATCTGGAGCAGAGTTTCTTCCAGGCATCTCTTCGGGGGGGGGGGGGCTAAGCCCCCCCGAAAAATTTTTACCGCCCCCCCCCCCCCGAACGAAAGGAAATTTATATAATTTATATAGAAAATATATACTTTTAACAGTGTCCGCCCCCCCCCCCCCCCGAAGAAAGTCTACCGCCCCCCCCCCCCGAAAATTTCAAGTGCCCCCCCGGAGAAAAAAGTCTGGAAGAAATACTGATCTGGAGTCACTGTTTATAACATTCACGTTACCCTAATGATATAAAAGACGCTTGCTCTTGTTAGTGTCGATGTTACCCTAAAAGATGCCAAAGACAAGTGACGTAGGCAGCAGACGGTAGGCAAGGCAGATTTAGGAAGGGTGTGAGGTAGTAAACCCGCCTTAGACCACCCTCCACCCACCCCTTATGAAAGGTAACTCAAGTCAGGTTACAGTTATTGTTGACAGTGCGCTCTAGTCGCTATATGTTTACAGTTTCAAAACTTTAAATAGCATTCAAATATTTACGTTTTAAAAAGCGTTGTTGGTCAATATCGCTCCCATTTACCAACTCTAACACACACACACGCGCGCATATATATATATATATATATATATATATATATATATATATATATATATATATATATATAACAAAATTCCTTCGATCCGATAACAAAATCCTGTCAACGCCACTGCAACAGACGCTTACCTTTAAAATGTTTACATCACTCTAAAAATAAAAGTGCGCTTACTTTTAAAATGTCGGCGTTACTTTAATGATACATTAAACCCTTACCTTTATAATATCGATGATACACGAACAAAAAAAATGTTTATATAACTTAAACAGATACAATTCACTGCATTGGAACCCGCGTCATCAGCAGACGACATGTTAGCACACACTGAGCGCAGCTGCTGTAGGTAGCCGCTTGTTTGTTTTCACCGTTAGCTTCGGGAAAATCCGTTCTAACACAGATTGTGGGAATTCTATTTACTAACGTTAGTGGCATATGGAAGTAATTATAGCGGCTGACAATGGCTGCATTAATCTCCTCGAATTATCACTAGGTGGAATTTTTTTGTTTTCCTAACTCAGGGACCAACTGTTTGGTTCTTCAATAAACGCCGATAAGGAACATCCAACCTATATTTGACTAGTATCTCTAGATTATCCACGGTCATATCACTACCATTAGACTTATTTCGACCTCCGGCTATCCTTAATCTGACCGTTAACATCAGTCTCTAACCTAATCCTCAATCTAACACTACAGTGACACTTTGAAGTGGATTCAGTGACCTCCCACAGACACGACTTTGTGATCTGAACCGGCGACTTTCAGGTTATCAATCGTGCGCTCTAATCCCCGGCCACGTCATCTCATCATTTGATGTAGATCCTACATGTAGGAAAGTCAACCAAAAACTCCACCAGAGCCAATTTTGGCCGAGTGTTTCATGATATAACTGGGATGACATTTGTAATTACAGAAGCGGATTGTCGAAAATCCGACATAAGAACCCAACTAATCCCCTAGATCCTCCTAGTTAACGAGATATAATGAAAAGAAGAGGATCATTATGTCTACCTTACTTTACATGCACTCCTCCTACAGGGGCAGGGGGTCTTAATCTTTTTGGAGGTACCGAACCCCACCAGTTTCATATGCGCAATCTCCGAACCTTTCGTCCGTTCTGATAAAGTCTGAACGTGAATCGTATGAGTGCTGCAACGTGTTGGTAAATACTTCTTGATTCTGTTATAAGTCAAATAGGTGACAGATTGTCAAACATAAAACTTTTTGTACCATAGAACTAACAGAAAAGATTGCCAAGATGAACGTTTGATCAGAGGCGTAGCGACCCTTCCCGGCGCCCGGGGACAAACTTTCGTTTGCACCCCACCCCTCGAACTTTTCATTTGCACCCCTCCCCCCTCAAACTTTCGATTTGCATCCCACCCCTCGAACTTTTCATTTGCACCCCCCCCCCACTCAAACTTTCGATTTGAACCCCCCCCCCCTTAAACTTTCGCTTTGGCGCCCCCCCCCTAAGGTCGGCGCCCGGGGACATATGTCCCCCCCTCGCTACGCCTCTGCGTTTGACTAACACACACACACACACACACACATATATATATATATATATATATATATATATATATATATATATATATATATATATATATATATATATATATATATATATATATATATAAGTTATGATAAAAGTACGTATTAAGCTAATGCTAACATTACAATGCCGTGGCTCAACTAACAAAAAATAAATTGAAACGGTTTAAAAATAAGAATACAACAAATCCAGCATTCGTGAAAAGTTAATTGACATGTTAAATTTAGCGATGATTTCGTTCATAGTCGTTCGGGTTTTTCAAAACTTACACGAGAAATTATACAATCCCAGAACACTGAAAGGTAGCACAGGATAGCTTAAAACATATTGGGAAAATATTTTAGACATATCAAGGTGGTAGACATATACAATCCCACCCCACTCCCTCCAAACTAACTTCATTACACATTGAGATTGTATAACACCATTGTAATCGTGCAAAAAAAAATAATCGAGATTTTTACAAATCTCGACGTTTTACACCTTACTGATACGGAAAAACATAATTTTGCAATCTTCTCCGTATGTCTGTGTGTCTGTGTGTGTGTGTGCGTGTGTGTGTGTGTGTAAACACGATAACTTGAGTATCGTTACAGCTAGGTTGAGGAAATTTCATATATAAGTATTTTATCAAAATCGTAGATCCGTATCAACTTGTGAGCGATTTCCGATAACCGGAAGTGGTACTTTTTCTACTTTGAATTTTTCAAAAGCCTATAACCTGAGTACTATTTCATATAGATAAATGAAATTTCACATGTAAGTAAAAGATCTAATTCTCTACCTTCTGTTAAATTTTGAGTAATTTCCGTTGAAGGGAAGTACTAATTTACGCTATTTCCGATTTCTCAAAAACGCATCTAAATTTATAAAGTACTAATAATATTGCGCATCATTATGAAAATCTTGATTCGGCGCTCGCTTGGTGTGCAATACCTTTTTCTATGAGATTCTATTTTATTTTACAAAGTTTATGTATTTAAAATGGATTAAAATCATAACTATATCCCGAGTTCCCATCCCTTGTTGTTTTATATAAGAATATTCGAGAAAGTTTAGGGGAGATCACTCCCGGTTTATTTAAATATTCATTTATCTTTCTTTAAGATATATGTTTACTATATACCTAATTTTACCCTGTCACCCAAACCACCCTGTCATCCAAACCACCCTGTCGACCAAACCACCATGTCGACCAAACCACCCTGTCATCCTAACCATCCTGTCACCAAAACCACCATGTCGCCCAAACCACCCTGTCATCCTAACCATCCTGTCACCAAAACCATCCTGTCACCAAAACCACCCAGTCGACCAAACCACCCTGTCGACCAAACAACCCTGTCACTCAAACCACCCAGTCACCCAAACCACCCAGTCACCCAAACCACCCTGTCACCCAAACCACCCTGTCGACCAAACCACCCTGTCACCCAAACCACACTGTCACCAAAACCACCCAGTCACCCTAACCACCCTGTCACCCAAAACCACCCAGTCACCCAAACCACCCTGTCACCCAAACCACCCTGTCACCCAAACCACCCTGTCATCCAAACCACCCTGTCATCCTAACCATCCTGTCACCCAAACCACACTGTCACCCAAACCACCCTGTCGACCAAACTACCCTGTCACCCAAACCACCCTGTCGACTAAACCACCCTGTCACCAAAACCACCCTGTCACCCAAACCACCCTGTCATCCAAACCACCCTGTCATCCTAACCATCCTGTCACCCAAACCACCCTGTCACCCAAACCACCCTGTCGACCAAACCACCCTGTCACCCAAACCACCCTGTCGACCAAACCACCATGTCGACCAAACCACCCTGTCACCGTGTCACCCAAACCACCCTGTCACCCAAACCACCCTGTGGACCAAACTACCGTGTCACCCAAACCACCCTGTCGACCAAACCACCCTGTCGACCAAACTACCCTGTCACCCAAACCACCCTGTGGACCAAACTACCGTGTCACCCAAACCACCCTGTCGACCAAACTACCCTGTCACCCAAACCACCCTGTGGACCAAACTACCGTGTCACCAAAACCACCCTGTCACGCAAACCACCCTGTCACCCAAACCACCCTGTCGACCAAACCACCCTGTCGCCCAAACAACCCTGTCACCCAAACCACCCTGTCGCCCAAACAACCCTGTCGCCCAAACCACCCTGTCGCCCAAACCACCCTGTCACCCAAACCACCCTGTCGACCAAACCACCCTGTCGACCAAACCACCCAGTCGACCAAACCACCCTGTCACCCAAACCACCCTGTCATCCAAACCACCCTGTCACCCAAACCACCATGTCACCCAAACCACCCTGTGAACCAAACCACCCTGTGAACCAAACCACCCTGTCACCTAAACCACCCTGTGGACCAAACCACCCTGTCACCTAAACCACCCTGTGAACCAAACCACCCTGTGAACCAAACCACCCTGTGAACCAAACCACCCTGTCACCTAAACCACCCTGTGGACCAAACCACCCTGTCACCTAAACCACCCTGTGAACCAAACCACCCTGTGGACCAAACCACCCTGTGAACCAAACCACCCTGTCACCCAAACCACCCTGTCACCCAAACCACCGTGTCACCCAAACTACCGTGTCACCCAAACCACCCTGTCGACCAAACCACCCTGTCACCCAAACCACCGTGTCACCCAAACCACCCTGTCGACCAAACCACCCTGTGAACCAAACCACCCTGTGGACCAAACCACCCTGTCACCTAAACCACCCTGTGAACCAAACCACCCTGTGAACCAAACCACCCTGTGAACCAAACCACCCTGTCACCTAAACCACCCTGTGGACCAAACCACCCTGACCACACTCTCAACCAAAACAACACCGTAATATTTTTATCAACGCTAACATCACCATTCTGTTGTACAAAATGACTCATATTATTAGATCTTAAGATCCTGCAGCCCTCACTTCACATGAGAAAAGTATCTTATTTTGATTGTATCTTGTTACATCTAGTTATATCCAGACATATGGGAATGTGTGGTCGCACACCCGAAAGCTGACTTATATATATGTATATATATATATATATATATATATATATATATATATATATATATATATATATGTGTGTGTGTGTTTGTGTGAGTGTGCGTATATATGTATATAAGTGTTATATATAATACGAGCCGGCCCGCGGCATAACATACGCCGCTATTTAGTTGTTTCTAATTTTCAATAATTCATAATTTGTGAATTCGACAGTACCAACGCTGACACTGAAAATATTTCTTTAAAACAGTATAAGTAGCTCGTTAAGGACCATAACCCCCCCCCCCCCTTCCTTCCCCCCTTCCTTCCCCCCTTCCTTCCCCCCTTCCTTCCCCCCCCTCCCCCCCCCTACGTTTAAAATCGTTGGCTCTGCTTGTAAACATTTAGAGTGAACACAGCTCACTAAAACCATGTAGGGGTGGGGAGGTAGGGAGAGCGTTTGCAGCTTGTTTTCTAACGGCTCGAAGAGGAGAATTATATATATAGATAGATAATCTATATAATACCGTTAGCATATAAAGTACACATAGCGCCCTCTCACCAGTGGCGGAACTAGAAAAAAGGGCCACCCCGCAAAAAAAATTTTTAGGCCCCCCCCCCTATATATATATATATACATATATATATATATATATATATATATATATATATATATATATATATATATATATATATATATATATATATATATACATATGTACTAAATACGAACATAGGATACTCATTGCAGGCCTGTTCGGGTTTTAATTAAAAAAAAGTTTTTTAATTTAAAACAAATTACAACAACATGTCATGTGTGTAAGTGCATTAGTGTGTTCTTTGAAAATCGCTTTTATTTTATCACTGCTATCACACCTCAAAACCTTTAATCGGTCAAAAGAATATAAACCATGAAAGCTTTGTATAAGTAATGGTGTTTCGTGTTATGTTTATTTTTATTTATTTTTTTGTATTTATATTATTAATATTAATTACATTTCCTTTTTATACAGTGTCATTCTTTAAGTACTTTATAAAAAAATAATAATTCAGAGAAATAATTCCTTTTTAATTTGTTTACTACAAATCTATTACAAGGAGCTTATGAGCACACCTATTTGACTATTTAAAAAAGGGAAATAAGTAATGGAAGTGGCGTGAACGTTTGCTTATCTTTGATAAGTTTGATTGTAGAAGAAAGAGGACGGCTTTCAGAGTGGTTTATATTTAGTTTGTAATGGGAAATTAAAGGTTGAAAACCTGAAACATGTTATAGCTAAGTTTGTAAAAGGAAATAAAATGCTGGGAGCTTGAAATAAAATCCCAAAAGTGAAAGTAGAACAACAGTGGCAGATGTTATTTTACTTCTGGTGCATCTAAAGGGCGAAAGACGGCATGAATAACGTTTATTGGGGCACTTATAAAAGACGTGACTGCTTTTATTTTTTTCATTGATTTCACAGTTTTTTTAAAGATAGAAACTTAAGTTCAGAAAAACCCAGAAGAAGTTAAAAGAAGTAAAATATTTAAAGTTTTCTCATTAAATAATTCTAAATGACAGGGGGGGGGGTATTTATTTCTCAGTTGTTCGATAAAATGTGAGAAGAGTTCCTCGATGATTAAATGTTGCCATCAAGTTCTCCATTTCTAACAGATAAAAAAAGTTGCTATCAATATCGTTTATGGTAAGACGTATTAAAAGGCCAAAACTTTAATTTGTTTTCCTTATTGACCTGAGTTTTTACTTCAAGTTCCTAGCACTACAAGACTTACTGACCTGAGCTTAGACAAGGGAAACCTAAAGTTGCTTGCGCTCTAGGTAGACTTATAATTTCTACCACCAAAAGACTAATTAAAATATTGAAATATCTATTTATTGTTAAATAGCTATTTATTTGTTAAAACTTTGTATGCGACGTCAGTTAGGGGGTGGGGGTGGGGGTGGTTTCTGATGACGACATAATAATGGTAAAATAGAATGACGTCCTAAGAGAGTAAGTAATAACCGCGGTTTAATCTTCATGTAATTAACTTACATAACTGTATGGTCACAAACTTGGTTTCAGGTTCCACAGGATAGAATAATATGATGTTTTCTGTCACGCCAAACAGCACATTATCCCACGAAATCACCAGTCACGTGATGCGGTAAATACAGATTTTCAAAACGAGACTAGATATTGAAAATTTTAAAATGATCTGTTAGAAATGTTTAGCGTTGACAATAACAGATGATGTGAATAACTTCATCAGGCACTGGGGTAGTCTATCCTGGTTGCTATGTCACACATGACCGACATGCCACATTGGCACGGGAGATGTACAGAGAAAACACGAGTGAGAACACTCATGAGGTGGCCAGATACGTGACTGGGCGTCGGTTTTGTTCTCAAGTTATAATAAAACTGTCACTCGTTTTAGTTAGCATAAAGTAGCCTACCAGCCATGCACGGTTTTAAAGTAGTTAAACGGGAAATAGGAATTTTAAAAAGTAAACAGTGAAATGGTGGGGGTTGAGATGGGAGAAAACGAGAGAGAGTATCCATGTATATTGAGTAAAGCGTTAATTTGTGTCAGGTAGCTGATATATATATATATATATATATATATATATATATATATATATATATATATATATATATGTAATATATAATATAATATAATATATATATATATATATATATATATATAAATAATATATATATATATATATATATATATATATATATATATATATATATATATATATATATATATATAATATATATATATATATAATATATATAATATATAATATATATATATATATATAAATATATAAATATATATATATATATATATATATATATATATATATATATATATATATATATATATATTTATATATATATATATATATTATAGGTGTGTGTGTATATGTGTGTGTTTGTGTGTGTTTAGCAGTATGTGTATACGCAATTTTATATTTTTAACACATCATGTAATTAGACAAAAATAAACAAAAACTACTGTGATTTTTGCGATTTTAATACATTTAAGATAAGGAGGAAAGGCTAACTTACGTATGATGGGCGGGTAACTCACGTGTATGAAAAAGAGAATAATGTTTTCAGCGTGTGTAGAAATGCGTTAAAAATATCGGTGAGTAGCCTATAGCTACCTCTGACTGTACGTATTGTCTTTTTTTCTGCTTGACTTTATCTCTCCGCAAGCCATCCCCACTCGCCTTATCTCAGCCTTGCATGCATGCCACCATTACACATCCGGAAGTGTGAATCAATACGATGGTAATCTCCTCCCCTCCCCGCCCTCACTACCCCCTCGTGGCATGACAGCATCGAACTGACACTGACGCTACACTCGTGTATGTCAACTCATCCATGCCTGTGTCGGGCTAAATGCGCCGTGTCACTGTTTCAGTCTCGTGACGTCATGTAGGTTATTTATAGATGGTTTCTGTTATATTTGATCTGATTAGAAAATCGAGCGCAATCGAGTTGACATTTAAATAACAATACATTGATTATCAGCCTTTATATATTATACAAAATTATATATATATATATATATATATATATATATATATATATATATATATATATATATATATATATATATATATTTATTTATTTATTTATATATAATTTATAAATATAATGTATATAGAGAGATAGAGAGAGAAAGATTGTCGGAAAAGATTTTGTAAACACTATAGAACAACTTACCACCTCGATAAAAGAAACCAAATAAACTCTAGCCTACAACCATTCCAGTTCACTGACAACCATTCCAGTTAGCTTACAACAATTCCAGTTAGCTTACAGCTATAGAGTAGTTATACATACCTCTAGCTGCTCAGCACCACTAAACCCTAGCCCCGACTTCGATCGATGCCGATCACCGCGATGATACTTCACGCAGATTCCTGTTCCACCCCTCCCCTCCCTCCCTCCTTCCCCACCCCTCCCCTCTCTCCCTCCTGTCTGGACCTATTTCTAGAGCTAACGGCCACTGTTCTAAGAAAATAGCAGAAGATCGATAAGACATTCGATCATGATCTCAGCCGACAGTTTAAAATAGATACAGTTTTTCCCGTTGAATGATCAGAGCTATACCTTCACAAAGCTCCTGCTAACAAAGCGCTAAAAATATTGTTCCCTCCTTCCCCACCCCTCCCCTCTCTCCCTCCTGTCTGGACCTATTTCTAGAGCTAACGATCCCTGTTCTAAGAAAATAGCAGACGATCGATAAGACATTCGATCATGATCTCAGCCGACAGTTTAAAATAGATGTTGTTTTTCCCGTTGAATGATCAGAGCTATACCTCCACAAAGCTCCTGCTAACAAAGCGCTAAAAATATTGTTCCCCAACACATTTGATACAGCTTGTTATACGATTCAACTTGTACGACAGATCGAGTGGAATAAAAAGGTTGTAGTGTAACCTAGGGACAAGGTTAAAGATAATCCTCCATATTAAACAGTGTGCGCACACATACAATTTTTACGACAGGCGTTCCCCTTTCACTATGTATTCACTATGTATTCACTGCGGCATCACTACAGACACTGACACTATAGTCCTGCCATATGGCTAGGCAGTGGAGTGGTCAAATATTTCATACATACAACCTGAATGATCTATTTCCTAGAAAATATTTACAGCTCTCTCTATCGAGTAATTCGAATAGTCTTTTGTTTCTATTTTAAAAATGCCAGCCGTCTACTAAACAGACTTTTACAATCGATTCGCTATGTTCGGTTAGTCTTTATGTTGCTACTGTTTATATATTCTACATTATATTCGGCCTACAGTAATATTAATACAATGTGATAAAATAATGTATACTGTAGTTATAATTCCAGGAATATATTAAATTCTATGAAGTTTGTTGTGATTAATATCCTGTGACTAAACTCACAAAGTGTTTTATTAAAGCTGTCTTATCCTATACATATTTCCAGCATACATTTTGAATGTAATTTTTATATCCATACCACCATTAATAGAATCCTTCGCCACCCACCCATCTTTTCGTCTCTTCAAATCTACGGCTGTATTTACAAATACTTAATTCCTAGCTTCATAAATCATTATGACAAAATAAGAATTTTATTAATATTATTTTCCGCTACGCCCAATCCCAGCTGTCGCCAAGCTATGAGATGAGCAATGATGAGAATTATTTCTGTTGAAACTATTTATAGTCACACAAAAAATAACTTCCAATACATGAAATTGTAGAGACTACATTAAAACAAGTGGAAAGATGCCTGATTTCTGGGATAGGACAAAAGGCCGACAAGACAAAAGGCCGACAGGCCTAAAGGCCAACATGGACATAAGGCCAACAGAACACTAGGCCGACAGCCAAAAGGCAGACCGCCAAAAAGCCCGTGTCGGCCTTTTTTCCATGTCGGCCTTTTGTTCGGACCACCTGATTTCTGGACCCTTTGGGCAGTCGTAGACCCACGTTTGGGCAGTCTTAGACCCACGTTTGGGCAGTCGTAGACTCACGTTTGGGCAGTCTTAGACTCACGTTTGGGCAGTCTTAGACCCACGTTTGGGCAGTCTTAGACCCACGTTTGGGCAGTCTTAGACTCACGTTTGGGCAGTCGTAGACTCACGTTTGGGCAGTCTTAGACTCACGTTTGGGCAGTCTTAGACCCACGTTTGGGCAGTCGTAGACTCACGTTTGGGCAGTCTTAGACTCACGTTTGGGCAGTCTTAGACCCACGTTTGGGCAGTCTTAGACCCACGTTTGGGCAGTCTTAGACTCACGTTTGGGCAGTCGTAGACTCACGTTTGGGCAGTCTTAGACCCACGTTTGGGCAGTCTTAGACCCACGTTTGGGCAGTCTTAGACTCACGTTTGGGCAGTCTTAGACCCACGTTTGGGCAGTCTTAGACCCACGTTTGGGCAGTCGTAGACTCACGTTTGGGCAGTCTTAGACTCACGTTTGGGCAGTCTTAGACCCACGTTTGGGCAGTCGTAGACTCACGTTTGGGCAGTCTTAGACCCACGTTTGGGCAGTCGTAGACTCACGTTTGGGCAGTCTTAGACTCACGTTTGGGCAGTCTTAGACCCACGTTTGGGCAGTCTTAGACCCACGTTTGGGCAGTCTTAGACCCACGTTTGGGCAGTCTTAGACCCACGTTTGGGCAGTCGTAGACTCACGTTTGGGCAGTCTTAGACCCACGTTTGGGCAGTCTTAGACTCACGTTTGGGCAGTCTTAGACTCACGTTTGGGCAGTCTTAGACTCACGTTTGGGCAGTCTTAGACTCACGTTTGGGCAGTCTTAGACCCACGTTTGGGCAGTCGTAGACTCACGTTTGGGCAGTCTTAGACTCACGTTTGGGCAGTCTTAGACCCACGTTTGGGCAGTCGTAGACTCACGTTTGGGCAGTCGTAGACCCACGTTTGGGCAGCCGTAGACCCACGTTCTTGTGAGTTTATCACTGGACTGTATGCAACGCTGGAGTTTCAGCTCCTGAGTACTGGGGTTGTAAGCCAGAAAGTGAACGTCCAACTCAGTGTAGCATTCACTTGTTTGTCAACTAACCAAAGTACAGACATACTAATTGGGGCGATATATCGAAGACTTGTTGTCCAAATATCGCTACCCACCCTAACCTAACAAAGGACGTAATAATAAACTTGGACCTAACCCAGGCCTTGAGAGTAATAATTACCGTAACCGTTACCTATGTACAAATTCTAACATCCATACCGGCAGAAAAAAAACAACTTGATATGGTACTGCACCGTACCGTAGCGTACTGCACTGTACTATACTGTACAATTCTGCACTGTACCGTACTCTATGATACTGCTCGCCCTCTCAGAAGCCATGCTTGTTTGTAACCAACTGTGGTATTGATAGCGTTACAAACACACATGTATGTGTGCAGGCCTTGACATAGATATACCTATACAAAACCCATAAATATTATTGACATATACAGGGGCACACAAAGGCGAACACATACATGAAGGTTAGTAGAAAAAGATGTTTATTGCACTGGACTGTAAATAACTGCTGGGTCATCAGTAAAGATGTATTAAGTCATTGATAAACGCATGTGAGTAAAGATGTACTAAAGTCAATATTATACACATTTCACTCTGGTAAAAATGTATTTGGTCGTTGTTACACAATAGCAAGTCAAGTAAAAACACAGCCACAACTTGCACAAGATCTGTTTATAAAGTTGTTTTCAAATCACTCGTACGTTAAAAATATTATTTCGTAAACCTAAAGTGTTTTTTTATGCTCCACATCCGGTCGATTCAGACGTTGAGAGTAGTTGTAAAAAAAAAAAAACGCTTTAGGGGAAATAATTCTATACGTTCGGTTATCTCCCAAAACTGAACATTTTAATCTCCCTTTGTGTCTAGCATATGTTTTATGTCAAGTAAATCTCGCCCCACCCCTTCCCCTCTACCTTTCGCACACACAACTCATAGATTGTAGTTTGAAAAGGGTGGGACAGTTATGGTTCAAAGTTCAGGCTCACAGATGAAACTAAAATATGTTTCTAATGTATTTGTCAATACAAATTTCCAACAATCTATGACCCCCGTAATATTATGTAATATTACTGTCTAATAGAATGAAGACTTTTTCCCCAATGTACACATAAATCCGTGGTTCTTAACCTAGGTGCTATAGAGCCCCGGGGGGTCGGTGAGTCAAGACATACATGGTTCACGATAGGATTTTGTCAGTGTGGACGATAGAACTATTAAGAAGGGTTCGGTAAATGCACATTTGAGCCTGGTGGGGTTCGGTACCTCTAAATAGGTTAAGATCCACTGGCTTAAATACACTTTTGACTTATTGGTCCCCTTTAAATTACGTGTCTTCTATGCCCGTGTTTAGACCTCACTCAATCTACACTACAGGTACCAACATCACACATCCTCACAAGAAGCCAAACCCTCTGTGTTCCCTCATCATATCAAAACTTAGCAATATCCGAATATAAAAATAGCATTCGCCATAGTTTTTGTCCTTTACAAATGTCAAAGAAATGATACGTCACACTATCCCTCATCACGCATCCAGTGCTTCTTCAATATTTTTTCTCCGGGGGGGGGGGGGGGGAACGACTAAAACTTCTAGGGGGGGGGGGCGGACACTGCTAAAAGTATATATTTTCTATAAATTTAATTTCGTTCGGGGGGTAGACATTTTTCGGGGCGGGGGAGGGGGGAGGAGGGGGGGGGGGGGCAGGAGAGATGCCTAGAAGAAACACTGCACGCATCGTCATACACCTTAACCCACCAGTGACGTCATTTATTGAAAAATCTCTTGTTTACATTATGCTGAAGTGATGTCAAATTTGTTTGTCCTGCTTGTTTGGCTTGGCGCGATGTCGTCAGGTTTATTTTATTGCTTGTAATTAAAACATCTAGCTTTGTCCAGAATTATTGAGACGTATCTTCAAGTCGTTTAAAATCTAAGTAATCAAGTAAGCATTTTGCTCATCCATTCAAGTCTTATAGGCATGTCACAAAAATACACACAAATTGTGTCAGCAAAAAGTGTAAAGTTTTGGTCAAAGTACAATGTAAAGTAGAAAATAATAAAATAGAATTCAAAATCGAGCACATTCCATTAGGTCACTGATTATTTTTACGTTGTTTAAATTTATTTGTTGTTTTTTGTTTGTTTGTTGTTGGGTTTTTCCGTTGTTTTTTTTTTTTTTTTTTTTCGTTTCTTTGCTGTCTTTGTTACCCCTTATGATCCGTTACTTTATATTACCGCCTGGCTGAAGCTAACACAAAAACACATGATGGTTGAGTTTTTTAAACAGCTGAAAACTCAAAGCCATTCTCAAACTGTAGAGGCGCCGAGGGCTCGGCCGGGTTGCAGTTGTAGTAGGAGGAGGGGGCCTGCGGCATGTGGTAGAAGTTGACCTTGGTCGGCACGTGCCGCGGGGACGAGAACGGCTCCCACTTGCTGCAGACGTTGTTACACCGGTGGGTGGAGAAGAATTCTGCGATCCCCCGCAAGCCGCCGTCCATGTCCCCGAACTCGCCCTTGACGGAGTGTATCCGTGGGTTGGTCAGCGTGTAGCTCAGCCCCGAGAAGAACCCCTGGAGGTCACACACCAGGATGGATTTGGTCGTCTGCCAGGTGAAATGGCTGAACGCAGCCGCCATATTGAAAGCTTTTTCTTCAGCAGCATCCGGGATGTTGTCGCTCGCGTTATCCTTGACGTCATCGTTCACCACCACGCCTTCGTCGTTATCCTCCGCTTCGTGGTTCGGAAGAGCCACAGAGGAAATCGCCGGACGGAAGTCAAATCTCCGAAACTTCCCGTCGATAAACGGCTCTAGAGTCACGTATTCCTCCCGCTGGAGCCTCTTGTCGTGCGGCACAAAGCACCGGAAGACGCAGGTGAAGTCTGAGACCGTCTCGACCTGGGTCAGCATGGGTCTCTGGAAGTTGACGGCGCTGTACCCGACGTGGCGGTTGAACTCCACCGCGAGGAGCTGGGCGTACGTGGCTCTCTTCACGACTTGCTCCCAGTCCGTGGCGTACCCAGCTCGGTCCAGCATTGCCCGGACAACGCAGAACTGACCCCTCAGTGGACCTTTGCCGTCCAGCAAGCCTTTGTAGAAGGAGAACGTCGAGCCCTCGTAAAAAGGGTAAAGCTCGAAGCTGGCGGTGTACATGTCGGAATCGGTGTTCGGTTCCGTGCACTGGGTCATGTTGTCTCTTTCAAAACACAGAATCCGCATGTTTGTATCTACGGTCTGGTCAGAGCCTTGCCAACAACAACAACGTCAAGTACATCAAGAATCGATCCTGTCTTTGTATTCAGAGTTGCAGACTTTCGAATACACTCATTGTTATGTTGTTATGGATATCGAAATGGTAATCTTCTAGTGCTAGAGAGTCACATCATCGCAAGAGATGGGCGTCTTTAAGGGGTTAATGTCGACTTTTCCGGTGCAGCAAGAGTTAACCTGCAAGATGTCCAGACACCAAAATGTAAGTATGTGAATAGAAGAAAAGAAAGATCTGCAATATACGGTTTCTAGATTACATTAGGATCCCAAACTTACTTTGGCTGGCGGACAACATGACAGGCTAAAAGTCTGACTGACGAAATTACGGACAAACTTAAACGGTGACTGACGAAATGACATCCAATCTGAAAGGCTGGTAAAATGATGAGCACGCAAGTTATCTGACGGACAAAATGACAGGAAATTTGATAGCAAACTGAGGAACGGTTATGGACATGCCATTTAAAAGGGGTGGGTGTTAGAGTGCTTGGTGGACATTTTCGAGGGGAAAAACACCGTAAGATCATTCCTCAATTTACAGACACCTCATCAAGCATATCTATAAGTTTTCAAAATATTTTAGAAACTTTAGCTGGTGATAAATTATTTTGGTACGAAAAGTAACAATATAAATAATTCCCTTTCAATATACTGAGCAACGTTGTAGAAGGAGAAAGGATGTATCTGACAATATCTGACTGCTTTCTTAACTATTGACTATAAGTAGTACACGGTGAAATACACGAGGCTACTCAGCTTAAATGAGTAACCGCCATGGGTTGGGGAATTGATAGTCCACGTAACGAGCTCTGGTCGAAACATGTGTATTTCTATGGTTACAAAATCTGATAACCCAAACAATCAAACTGTCAACTTAAACAGGCTTTAATGAAGTTTTTTTTTTTTAATATATCGTTAGCATTAGCCCAGCCTTAACACTACTCCTAATTAATGTCCTTACCATAATACGACCATATCAATGGGTCCAATTTTTACCCGGGGACAAACTTTCAATTTGCACCCCCCCCCTCAAACTTTCGATTTGCACCCCCCTCATACTTTATATATATATATATACCGAGGGGTCTATGGGGGGGAGGTTATGACCCCCCCCCTGCCTACGCCACTGACTGAGATACTAACATTACATTGTGCCGTAGCTTTTTTATAGAAATCAGCTAGATCTACTAAAGACTAAATATAGTCTTTATGGCCAAATAATAAAATCGTAGTTATTTACGTTTGAAAATAATAAAAAATATTACCGAAACACCATCGTTAAAACCCACGTGATTTGATTAATTTAAGTTACTTGATAAGTTCTGAATCTCTTTAATGAAATTTTAAGTTCGTATCTTCGGACATGATGGGGGACATTTGTGTATGTGAATGTGTGCTATACGTCATCACTTTTGCAGCGGAAGTTTAGAATTAGTAAAAATGCAGTAAAAAGTTTCCTGACATCTCAGTTTATTTTATCGTATTTATAGTATCGTACTCAGGGGCCGAACTACCATGCCGCCAGACCAGCAAATGGGGGGGGGGGGGGAGGGGGGGAATGGCGTTTTGGGGGCCAGAAATCCGCCCAAAAATAACAACGTATATTTTCAATAAATAATGTCTTTCGTGCACCTTGATAGTGGTTTTGTAAAATACAAACAGGTCTACTATAGCACTGATTGTTCTACAGTAACTGATAGCTATAAAAAGGAATATTTTCAGAATCAATAATATAAATACAAAAAAGTTATAAAATAAACAGAACGCAAGAAACCATAACACAAATCAAGCTGCTTTGTGCATATATTTCTGACATCAATCATAATATATGTAAGCCCTGCTAGGGGGGGATACCTAATATCTACCCTACCCTTCCCTAGGCTTATCTACTTAACTACTCTGTCCGGTCAGTGCAACCGTGGTAGAACCCACAGTGGTTAAACCCTAACCTTGGTCTAAATAATAAGCTACTAAAATAAAACAAAAACTTTTACAGTTAATAAAATTTATTGCATGGAACCAAAAGTTATAAAAAAAGAATAGATAAAACTGACACAAAACAGAACCAAACGAAACAAACTTTTTACATCAAACAAAACATTACGTTTGACCATTTGCTGGTGTTGCGCCGACTTATGATGTCTAGGATGGTCCAGGCCCTGACACACAGAAACCTCCCTTCATCCATTCTCGACATCCAAAAGTCCACACCAAACAAAACACTACGTAAAACCACTACGTACAATACATTACGTAGAATACAATACGTCCACAACAAACTTTTTACACCAAACAAAACAATTCATATATAACAAAACACCCAGCCAAGTTGCCCAAGCAACCTCACTGGAAGGGGGGGGGGAAGAGAAAAAGAAAAGGAAAACATAAGAAAAATGCATGGTAATGGCAGATATATACATAAATATATACACAAGTTCAAAATGCTACCTACTACTACCTAGCTAAAGCCTCGAGTAAAACTAATCCCTACTATACAATTCTAAAAGCAATTCTCAAAAACAACTAACCACTGTCTAAAGAAGAACTAGCAACTTAAAAATAACGTGTAAACAAATTCATCGTAGAACCAATCTTTCCTACACAAGGAGCAGCCCGAAGCCATTGGTCTACATAAACAACATCTATATTGATAACATTAAGTTAACACACTCCGCTAAGGCCCCAATGAAGGCAGACACAAAGCAAGCGATACTCAACATGACGTTGCACGAAACAGCACACACATTAATTTTAAACAACCTAAAACTCGAGGCAACTAAAATATGCTAATCTAATTACTGTCTAAAACAACCGACTATTGACTAAGCCAATCCTAGTCAATAACACATCATAAAACAATCAGGTAAATGCACACACGCATTCACACCAGTTTAGGAAACACTCCTAAACACACTGGCCTAAACCACGTGGTCCGAAACACACGCCACGGGTTTAGAAAACATTAAAAATACATTTTAATTCAAAATAACACACCACGTGCATACCAGACATGCCGATGCTCACTATCTAGGGGGGGGGGGCAATTTTTTTGTTTTGCAGGGGAGCCTTTTTTTCTAGTTCCGCCACTGATCGTACTCCCATACTCGCATAGTTAATATTGCTGATGATGGATACTTAACATACGCCCGAACTAGATACCTCATTCTAATCTATGCACCGACTTTAATTTAATATGAATGTCTACATCTATTTCTTTAGGGACAACAACTTAATAATATAGTGTAGAATGAAAGTTTGGTATCAAAAACGAAAAGTTGAAATTTTGGAGGGGAGGCTTTAGTGTCATGTCAGTTTGGGGAGGTGTGGGTGCTTTCTCTGACAATGTCTGAGCGACATTGAAGGGGAGCGTTAAAAGTCGACCCAGAAAAAACGTGACTTCGTTTATGGACTACCACTATTACGCCATGAAATCATTAAGCTGCCAACAGCTGTTCTCATTCCCATATGAATTACATCCCCTTTAGCTAGTATTATTTCCCTATTTTTGTTTATCTCCCCTTTCTTGTGTAATGCGCTAAAGATCTGTGAAGTAACACATGGCGTTGTAATAAACACAACTTGCTGATAATCCCTCACCTCTTGCATTCTGTGTGTTTTTCTTTCAAGTTATTAATCGTTTGGGCCTAATAAATTTTAAAATATATTCGCCAATAATCAGCCTAACAAAAAAGAAGCAAAGAAAGGAAATAGGCTGTTTGTTAAGAAGCAATTGTGTAGATTTTGATTATATTCATTATTTAAAGTTAATTACGTTGTTACATGTTATACAGGCATACATTTTTATTTTGTTGTTTCTAGTTAAATAATTATGTTAGCCGTACTATACTCTTATAATCAAATAGTCAGAATTGTTGATAATCATTCTTGTGCACTAAAACCCAAATAATAATTGACTATTCTAATTATTCATTCAGGCTTTATATGATCAATATCAAATAAGAGATGTATTTATTAGATCTATTAGGTGAAAAAGAATTAAAATATAACGATTTTGGGTTGGGTTTTACAAAACAACTTTAACTTGAATGCTTGGTAGAGAGCTGGTGTGGGTAGGCTAGCAGTTAAAAAACAAACAAACAAAAACTACTCACGGGTTTCCACCCATCCACGGGTCAGGTGTAGAGGCCAACTCAACCATCGAACGTGTAGCAACACAAGGCTACGGGATGGACTGGCAGTGTTAGGCGTGCACAGCCCCAGCTGGTCGGCTGCAAAAGGTGGGGGGAGGGGGGAGGGGGATCAGCTTTGACCGGTGGAACAAAATTCCATGGCGTGGAAAGTAAAGGTGGGAAGATAGGCAGAGAAAAGGTGTAGTGTGGGCTACAGAGGGAGGGGGAGTTAAGGTATACACATTTATGGCAGGTATAAGTAGCCTACACTTGAAAATGATTTTTTTTTTTTAGCAAGAACAAAAAATTGTGTATAGGCTACACATTGAAACGTAATAACTTATTAGCATTTTTGAAGCGCTGTTTACTAGTAGCGAAAAACCAAGCGATGCAACAATAAATTGCTCACAAACGCACAAAAAAAAAAAGAAAAAAAAACTAATGAGGCAACTACTGGTAAGGATACAAGAACAGGAATATTGATGTTGCAGTAGCTTATTTACTAACACGAATATGGCTACAGTTAGTAACAGGGCCACATCAGTGTTGCTTAGGCTTAGATTGATTTCTGTATGTGTGGACAAATGAAGGCCCGTCAAAAAATTTTGCTAATGTGAAACTCTTTAATATTCTGTTATGAACATTGCTTAGAATATAATGTATAACTGTATATGTACGGGCTGATCTCTGACAAATATATATATATATATATATATATATATATATATATATATATATATATATATATATATATATATGTGTGACTATGGTCCCTAACATGGCTACACCAGTTTGGCTACAGTATGACATTAAACACACAGAACCATTAATTTGACAACGGTCCCTAACGTGGCTACACCAGTTTGGCTACAGTATGACATTAAACACACAGAACCCAGCTGGAGAAAACAGACCAATAAAAATAGAGCACGTGCAAATGTTCGTAGTCCCGTAGTTGAGTACGCGTGTGTTAAGGTCAAGGTAAATCATGGAATGTCAGATCTAACGTTACCTTACAGGAAATACCTTTTTTTTTTTTTAAAGTGGGGCAAGGGAGGTAACTCGTGTGGGAATATAATTATTGTTTTAATTTCCACGCCACAGGTGCTGGAGATGGAAATTCTAACAAAGCTTCTGTTTCGTTGATTTTATTTAGCAACACCCCCCCCCCCAACCTCTTCCCTCCCACCTATCTATATTTTTTTGAAAAATAACTGTCAACAATTTTGCAAAATAGATGACGAACAATTGCATATGATACCAAATGATTTCACCATAAACTCATGTTGTAATCAAATATTTCTAAATATTAATTGTAATTTTAAAGGATAACAAATTAATTATGAATAATTTGATACAATTTAAATTTAATCCAATAATTGGAAATGGTGTATCGCCATACGTTCTATCTCATTCGTTTGAATTTTAAAACAAAATACTTCACCTAAAACTTGACAAAGCCGTCTATAGTAGATTAAGGTTGCGACCATTGACTGTAAAAGTTAAAATTAATTATCTAATAAGATAACTAAAGAGCCGAAAATGATAAACATTGCATATATTAAAATAATGCAGAAAGAGCGTTTTGGACCCATTTGATTTGTATTTTCTTCATTAAATATTTTTAAGTTGTTAAAAAAGTAAAGTTAAAAAATCTGGCTTAGCTTCCGTTTCTATGTTGACAATGGACAACAGGAACCATAATCAAACTTATTTTAAACATTTATTTAGTAGTTGAATACTATAATATTTAATATGTAAAACAATTCTTACTTTTATTTTATTTTGAAAGCATAGTTATAAATTATTTTTAAAAAGTGCAATATGAGTCAACAGCCAGTACCACCAGCAGGTAATATTAAAAAGTAAAATAGAGTAAATCTATAATTAATAATTAGTTAGTATACTATAATAGGGCCAAAAACTAAAACTAAAATAAAAAATGAAATGAGCTGACTGGCAGGCTGCTAACTGCTAAGTTAAAGGCAAACATTAACAAGTACATTAAAGTAGTAACCTACTATATTAATAGTATGTACTTTACTTACTACTAGTAAGTAAAGTAGATACAAATATTACAGTCCATTGACCAATGCATGGAAAACAATGCAGGAGATGTTTTCAATGTACCATCCATGAACCAGAGCTGATTAACTTCCAATAACCTAAGGTTAACAAAAACATACTACCTTTTGACTCAGCACCAGAATCGAACAGATGAAATTGCTGTCCATCTTATGTCATTTTATATTGATCAGGAATAATTATATCAGCAATATTCCTTGGATCAGGGATGTTTTAATGTTTGATGTTGAGGCCTAATATTACAACATATGTGTGGAGCCAAGGGCAGCTTGGCTTTTGCATCTCCACTAATTGTAGTAATGGATTGAGTGATGATCTGCTGGGCGTTGCTTCTGTTTCTTCTGCCAATTGTTTCATCTGCTGCACTACTCTACACACTTCTAGTTGAGATGGATCTGATCCATGTGAATGTTCATTACAATGTCCAACAAGCTTTTCACCATGAATCTTTATCTTAGCTTTGCATTCTGCCTTGTTCCGTCTTTTCGCACACTCAAATGATGCAATGCCGTTCGCCAAATCTTTTTGCTTGACATAAACATAGCCTTCGAAAATCACATTTAAATTGCCTTTATTAGATTGTAAGAACTCCATTCCAGAAATTATAAGATTTGTGGAGAAATAAATTTGATTTTATATTTATACCATGCTTCTGTGTGCCAAGGTGGATATGAACCAAGCTTCCGCCGGTGAATTTCTCACATCTTTTGTATTGTTTAAAATGAGTTTTCTCTCCTAGATGGGTTGCTGTCCCCAGCTATCGAACTTTAATGTACGCAGGTGTTTAAACTCAGGACTTTTTTGTTTAGTGACCATGAGCTTTACCAACCAGACCACACTGACCCATTAAACTACTTTAAAAGTTATAAAGTTATTATTTTAAGGCCTACATATAATATATGGCTACCTATATAAAATAAAATAACTTTTTAATTTACTTGTTTACAATTTTGCAGGAAAGCCTGCTCCCAGGACATCTAGACCAACAGTTGCTAAACAAAAACTAGCAAGGTAGGTGAGTTATGTAGGCATTGTTTTATAATTAAATTAAATATACCGTATAATTTCTAGATCACTGTGTTAAGAGCTTTACTTATTTGCTATCAGACCATCTGATTCCATTTATACCTTTTTAGGGTTGTCTGTATGATTTTTGTTTTTGAAATTATTTGCTTTCTTTAATCTTTGTATTAAAAAAGTAACATTTCCAGGATGAAAAAAATGGGATATGTGAAAATTTGAATGTTTTAAAAAAATCACTAAGTATAAAACTTAGCTTTAAATAATGTAATTTTTTTCTTTAATAATTAACTCTTTTTATTTGCAGCATTCGTTTTCGCTGTTCTCTTCAAAACACAATTTTAGATGTGCTAAAAGCCAGGCCAGGATGGGTGGAAGTAACAAAGTAAATTTTTTTAAAGTAGTAATTATATTTTTTTGTAAGAATATCTACATTTGTTAGAGAGTTAAGGTTATATTTTGAAAGATTATAATAATCAAGGTAGATTATATGGCTTGCAAGGCTTGTCTCTGGAATATTTGTGATGTCGATGAACTTCAAGCACATTTCTGAATGTATGTGATCATGTTTCAGTGCTGAGTGGGATTTCTGCTGGTGTGACAAAGATTGGTTAAACAATGAGGAGGAGAATATATTTTTTCCTCTGAACTCTAGGGTCAGCCACTTCAGAAACTTTTTCGAGGTTATAAAAATCATTTCCTAGATGTTCACTTTAGCGACCCACTATTTTGCACATCATCACTCAGTGTTCAGCTTATCCTGATTTTTGTTGTTGTCCATTTGAATCAATGTGTGCTTTATCAACAGTAGATCTGAAAACTATAATTGTGATTTATTTCTTCAATTTTGTACTGCATATATATTTTTAAGTTAGGTTAAAAAGTGAAGAATATTTAAGTTTTTAGTTCTAGTTCATTGGTTTGTTTGTAGATGAGTAGAATCATTTAAAATTTAAATATTAATTTTTAAGACATGTTTTATTTAATAAATTATTTTGCTTTTCATATTATTTTCTTTAAAAATTGTAAAATAGTATTCATTTTTTATCAACTTTAAAGTGGACTAAAATAATAATACTAACAAGCAAAACATAACAAATCACAATATTTAGAGTATTTAATCTTTATTAAAAGCTAGATCTCTATTATGTACCATAATTTGCCTTGCATTATCCTATTAACTTAATTAACAAATGCCAGAAGCTTTAATGACTTTGTGTGGTGAAGTTCATATAGGTTTTGTTGTTTATTTAGTTAAATATGTATTTTCAAAGATAACAAGAAACCATAAACCATTAGCAATAAAATTATTTATGCAGTTAATTAAATGAAGATAATAGATGGTATTTTTGGTGGGTAGTCTCTGTTTTCACCAGTCTACTGAAGTCACTTGAGATTTACTTGTTTTATTGAACATGCCTTTAGTGAGGGAGGATCGTGGGACTTCTACTGGGCTGATGTGTGGTGGATGAAAGAAATATTTGACAGGGCATACCTGGAGGACCAAATGAGAATTAATCACTTTCGTAATCATTATGAGGTACAGCTGTGTTCCTGGTAGATAGCTCTGATAGAAATACGGATCAAATAAATTTTTGTTAAATGAAATCTTTTCTTTCAGAGACTTTTTTCATAACAGTTTTTCTTTATCTTTTTCACTTGGTAAGATATATTTATAGCAAGAAGATAGTTAAACATTAAGAACTTAAAAACAAAATGATGTTTAATGTTTTAAAAATGTTTTGATTCTTGTTCTAACAAATTCAATAGTTTTGACAATATATGTTTTGTCCATATAAAATTAATCTTTGTTGTCAAAATAACACTCAATGACGAGGTATAATTTTACTTTTTATATATCCTTCAAACCAAATGGTCACATTTCCATATCTTCAAGACTTTTTACCCAAAACCTTATTGTTTCACATAATCTCTTTTCTTATATACACTTGAATATCACGTATTTGCTCACTATCATTTCTCATATTCCTATTTGTTTTTATTTTGCTTTATAAATATACATAAAAATGCTCATTTTTAATACATCCATATCAAGTCACATTTATCATTGGCCTTTAACAAATAATAATTACATTTTCAAAATTAAAGTTATGCTTGTATAAAGGTGTTAATTGAATTTTGTTTGTATTACTGAACTTTAACATGATGCTTTGTTAGATGTTTGAAGATTTTTGTTTTACTGTGGATAAAGTTGTATATATGTAGAGGTGTTTAAAGAATCTTGTTTTTTGTTTTGTTTTACTGAACTTTTAATGATGCTTCCTCAGCTGACAAGAAAAAATTTGATGGTGAAAAACTTGAAAAGACTCCGTAGACAGTTAGAGCGTGATTCTGGAAAAGTAGAAGCCCAAAAATATCCTTTACAGCTTCTAGTCATTTTATTATCTCGATACAATTGACATCATTTTTCACAGAGAAATATCTTTATTTTTTAATACACAAAGAATTATTAAGGTCTGAATTTTTTCACAAATTTAAATTGATTGCAACATTAGTTCATTCTTTATAATGCCTTCACATATATTATTAATGTAAATATATTTAAACAGTATAATAGCATAGTTCTCCTTGACTTTCATAAATGTGACTTTTTTCCAGCTACATTCGAGCTCCCAGTAAGTAATTTGTTTTTAGAAATCACAAATCTCTGTAATTGCTTTTGTTTGTGTAGCAATTAAAGATATTCTTGCATTTAACTGTAATTGTAAGGTAATTTTTTTTAATTAGGCTGCTATAAAGTTCTGAAGTAAAATAAAGTTAACAGATATTTTAGTTATAAGAATATTTGACCCATCATAAAATGCCTTACACTTTATCAATTTAAGAAGACAATAACTTAACACAAATACATTATTTTTATGTTTCCTGTGTATTCAATCTTTGCAAAATATACATCACTTGTTAAGTTTCATTTTTAAGAAATATTTTAAAAATGAATCTCTTTGTAGTCAGAGTATCACATCTTCGTAGATGAGTTTCGACGAAATCCTGGTAGTATTTGGATAATGAAACCAATAGCAAAGTCTCAAGGGAAAGGAATCTTCCTGTTCAAGAGATTAAAGGACATCACTGACTGGAAGCGGGTAAGCACGAGAAACTCTTATAAATGATAAGTGACTGTCAAAGAGATGTAAAAAGCCTAGGGATACTAAGATTAGGGCTGCAGATAAGCTTGGTATAATTTATACTTTAATAAAAAATTATTTTTTTTAGGTTATAAGAGATGCATGAAAAATTAGTACATTTCTATTAAATTCTGCACCTGATACTTCTCTTCTATTTTGTTTTTTCTTAACTATTACCTTAGAGAAATAATTTTCATTATAACTTTTAAAAATCTGAAATGGGACAATTTTAGTACTAAAATCAACATTGGTATTTTATAAATGAAAGTAACTGATGGTTTAATCTTTGTGCTGTGTAGGGTGTTGAGTACCAGCCACAGCTACAGCAGGTTGATGGAACCCAGCCCATTGAAACTTACGTGGTGCAGCATTACATTGAAAACCCTTATCTTATTGGTGGACGTAAATTTGATATTAGGGTTTATGTTTTAGTTACATCTGTAAGTAAATTTGATATTAGGGTTTATGTTTTAGTTACATCTGTAAGTAAATTTGATATTAGGGTTTATGTTTTAGTTACATCTGTAAGTATATTTGATATTAGGGTTTATGTTTTAGTTACATCTGTAAGTAAATTTGATATTAGGGTTTATGTTTTAGTTACATCTGTAAGTAAATTTGATACTAGGGTTCATGTTTTAGTTACATCTGTAAGTAAATTTGATATTAGGGTTTATGTTTTAGTTACATCTGTAAGTAAATTTGATATTAGGGTTTATGTTTTAGTTACATCTGTAAGTAAATTTGATATTAGGGTTTATGTTTTAGTTACATCTGTAAGTAAATTTGATTTTAGAGATGATGTTTTAGATATCTGCTAATGTTTGTATGATTTTATAAAAAATCAACATTCTACGTTTAGGTGATCAGACCTTTAGCTGTTTATTGGTAGCATGATAGTACACACAGTTGTGTCATGTAATAAAGTAATCTCACTTTCACAAGACTATACTGTCTGATTAAAAAATAATTACTACTTGCAGGTGATTGTGTCACTTTAATTAGGTGGGGGAAAAAACAGTTAACTTCCTGGTTTTATACTAATGTTTTGCTTAATATTTGGGAGGAATAACTCACATTATTTTATCTTATTTTAACTTTATTTGGTCATTTAGAATTGCTTTACTAATAAAATTTAGGCCTACATTCTTGACTAGCTTATCTTTTTAAACTTGTTTATAAACCATTCAATATTTTCTAATAATAAATAACTAATATTTTGTCTCTTGCAATTTTTTGCAGTACAATCCCCTGAAAGTTTATTTATACAGAAGTGGTTTTGCGCGATTTGCCAATAACAGATACTCTTTAGACACGATTGACGATAACTGTATCCTAATAACATTTTTAACTGCTTGCTTTTTCAAATTTTAGTTTTAACAAATACTAAGATTTGTTGGCTTTAGATTTTTAAAACATTCACATCATCATCTAAAGTTACTGTTTTCTCATCACAAATCAAAAGAATATTTCCTTAGTTTGTAGACACCCATGGGACGGAGTGGTCTAGCGGTAGAGAGCTGGACTGCTAACCCGTTAGTCTCGAGTTCGAATCCGGTTTCAAGTCAGTAGACCGTCCCTGAGTCCACCCAACTCTGATGGGTACCTAACTCATGTAAGGGAAAGTAAAGGCGGCTGGGCATAGTGCTGACCACACTATCTCTTCATATGCCGAGGTCACAGAAACAAGTGAACTCTACTTCACTTGCCCCATAGACCGTCAGGTTTGAAAGGAAACATTACATTACTTTGTAGACACCCATATTACAAATGTTGCCATATAGAAGATTATTTCCTTAGCTTGTAGACATCCATCTTACAAATGTTGCTATATAGAAGATTATTTCCTTAGCTTATAGACATCAATCTTACTCATTTTAATATATAGAAGATTATTTCCTTAGCTTATAGACATCCATCTTACAAATGTTGCCATACAGAAGACAGCCCCAGACTATGACCCTGAGAAAGGATGCAAATGGTCCACACAACAGCTGCGCATGTACCTCACAGCCAAACATGGCCAGCAAAATGTCAGTACTTTATTTCTCCAATAGGAGGTGGCTTTTTATCTTATAAATGATTTTATGTATCTGGCAAGGAATCATAATAACGTTTGATTGGTTGAATCACTGGCTCAGAACTTACAATAGTTACTATCAGCTGCCAATGCTTACTGAAGTCAAAACATAAGAAGTCTTACATCTTTGATTTGATACATATCTGAAATCCTTACATCATACAAATTTCAATTCATACATACCTTAAAACATGTATAAACAAAGTCATATATGACTTAAGTCATCCATAAGTCACACATATCAAACAAAAGATTGACATAACATAATACAAAAATTAGATCACTGGGCTCATGCACACTATTATATAGCCCTGTCATTCTCTTGTAATAATTTGGCTTGAATCATCACATGTTTATCCTCTGCCTGTGAATACAGTTTCAATAAATGATCAATATTTTTATCCACAGGTGAACACTGTTTCAACAAATGACCAATATTTTTATCCATAGGTGAACACACTGTTTCAACAAATGACCAATATTTTTATCCTGAGCCTGCAATCCTGTCAACGTGTTATCATCAATGATAAGCATTGCTTTGAGTTGTATGGCTATGATATTCTAATTGATTCCAACCTCAAACCGTAAGTCACATAACAGATGATGATTGCTTTGTGATTGTTTCAAACATGATTGCTTTGTGATTGTTTCAAACATGATTGCTTTGTGATTGTTTCAAACATGATTGCTTTGTGATTGTTTCAAACATGATTGCTTTGTGATTGTTTCAAACATGATTGCTTTGTGATTGTTTCAAACAAGCTTTGATTGTTTTAAACATTGCTGGTTGTTTTTAAACAAGGTCATTTTTTTAAACATATTATAGTGATTGTTTTTCACCAAAGAATTAATAAAATATTAACTTGGTTTAAAGTTAAAACTGCAAGTTTGAATACATTATTTACACAAACACACAGTTCTAATAGATTAGATTTTCTTGTCTGGTTTATTCTTGAATGTCAGCATAGTGATAGGTGGTTTTTGCTCTAAAAATACAAACATGGGTTTGTACCAGATAAATTGTCATGTAGGTGGCTGATTGAGATCAATAAAATTATAAACATGGGTTTGTACAAGATGAATTGTCATGCAGGTGGCTGATTGAGATCAATAAAATTCTAAACATGGGTTTGTACAAGATGAATTGTCATACAGGTGGCTGATTGAGATCAATAAAATTGTAAACATGGGTTTGTACAAGATGAATTGTCATACAGGTGGTTGATTGAGATCAATAAAATTGTAAACATGGGTTTGTACAAGATGAATTGTCATACAGGTGGTTGATTGAGATCAATAAAATTGTAAACATGGGTTTGTACAAGATGAATTGTCATACAGGTGGTTGATTGAGATCAATGCCTCGCCCTCCCTGACAGCCAGCAACCAGGAAGATTACGACCTCAAATTTGGACTGCTCAATGACGTGCTCAATGTTCTTGACTTAGAAAATAGGTTGGTATCATATTGACAGGAGGTTGTTAGATACTGGTAGTAGGTTTTTAGATATTAACAGTAGGTTTTTAGATGCTAACAGTAGATAGTTATTAAGTTATTAAAAGTTTTGATGCTTGACTTGGAAAAAAATCAGTATCAAAGAAGACAAATAAACATAATAAATGTATTACTTGATTTTAAATATTTCAATTTGAACTTAATCCTTACATTCTTAAATCATATCATTATCAAAGAGAGTGTGGTTTATCCTTTGAATTAGAGTATTAAATGTGGTAAGGTTCTTGTGTAACTTGTTGATGCAGGCTGACAGGAAAAGAAAAGAAGGTTGGGTTGTTTGATCTGATGTGGGATGATGGGCCTGTGTTCTTAGATGAAGGAGGAATGGAGGATGTGGTTAGTCTTCAGACAGCATCAACTAATGCTAACTTAGGTGAGAACTTAATACCAAGCTATTCACTGTATGAAAAACAGTTTGTACATTTGTAAGTCTATGGTAGTTCTTTAGCTTGCTATTTTGTATAGTCAACAATTAGGCTTAAATCTGCCTGTTTAGTAAACTGAGGCTTGACAGAAAACAGCAAAACAAAATATTTCTTCAATAAATTGGCTAGTTATATTAAAAAATGTGTTAACAAATTAGCTAGTTATCCAATGCAGCTTAGTCATTACTTTTAATAGAAACTTTTTAGTTAGCATATCATCTTTTGTTAACTTTTTCATTCCATATCTAATTAATATAAAAAAAACAAATACCACTCAATTATAAGCGAATTATCTTTTTTAATTAACTTTTTAAAACCCAAATGGAACTGGGTTTTTATAAGTCCATTAAAATACTTTTTTATTTTAGTTGCTATTCAAATTTTCAGGATGCATTAATGACAGATTAGAAAATTTACGTGAAATCTACCAAACAGCTGAGGCTTTAAAAAAGTTATCATGACATCGGAGTGATCGTAAAACAGTGTGGAAGTCTTGTCCCCAAAGTAGTGCAGCTTTTAAACTCACCTTTGTTATTTTGTTTACAATCATTCAGGAGAATAAATTATACTTTACTGCACGTGATCTTCTCTGTTTATTCTTTTATCTTTCGTTAAACAAAGTTTTTATCAAGAGTTCTTGCATTTCTCTCTTCAAAGTAAATTAACCTTTTTGTTACTAGTCTGTCATACATTGTTGAATCAAGACGTTTACTGACCAATGGTCTGTCATATATTAATGAGTCAGAATTTTTTTTTTAATTTAATATTGACACACTTTACCTTTAATAAAACTTACAAATAAAAACATTGCAAATGAAGAAAAAAGGAACGGAAAAAAGTTATTAGTCATTTCTTTTAATGAACCAATTTAACTTCAAGATTGAAATAATTAATAATGTTTGAATTGATACAAATGAAGTTAGTTTAATAATGCAATGTTATCACAATAAATAGATTAATTATCACAGTGACTTACAAAGTACATACAAAAAAATATTTGCACACAAACATTTACAAAAATATCTGTCTATTCACAAAATTAATGTAAGAAAACTTACAATATAAACATTAGTTTCAAAATTATTTTTTGTTCTTTGTAGTTTAGTGTTCACAACTTACATTGTCTTTGACTAGATAACATTTTGTTATGGCTTGCTGATGTTCATCATATCTGGTAAGACAACCCTTCTGTATTTGGTCTCAAGCTCTTTCATGTATTTGATTTCATCTATCACGTGGAAATCTCTGATTACCTCCTCCTGCACAAAGATGTGTTGACAAAATGCTCAGTACTTTAAGATGTTAACAAAATTCTTTCCTACTTGGAGGAGTGTTAACAAAAATTCTCTCTACTTTAAGATGTTGACAAACATGGTCAATACTTTAAGATGTTAAAAAAATTGCTCACTACTATAAGATGTTAAAAAAATTGCTCACTACTATAAGATGTTTAAAAACCATGGTTAGTACCTTGAGAAAGATCACCAGCTCTTGTGTCTGCATGCATGAGAGAATCTTCTCCTGCAGGTGTCTGAGTATGGAGACACACAGGTAGACCTGGTAGTCAATGCCCAGCACCACGCAGGTAACCAGGTAATGGAGGATGTCCTGCCAGTCCAGGTAGTTCCAGAAGCACTGGGTCAGCCAGTGCAGGCAGATCTACAGTAGACAGCAGATACAGAAAATAATTTTTAAACACAATTTTTCAAGTTTTAATTTCTGAATTGTGATTGTGAATTGTAGGCCCTATGTGTATAGTTTTTCTGACAACATTAAGTGATTATTCAAATGGTCAAAAGTTTCTTGTATATTTATCTGATTCCACTAACAGCATTTACAAGTGATGGGACCCCCCCCCCCCCTCTCTCTCTCTCTTTTAAGAGGGGGAACCCAATTTAATTTAATGTACCCCATCCCAATTTTTATGGGCTTAACAACCTGATTTATATTAGATGAGAAACCCCCATTTGTGTATGGTGATGTGAGGACGACCCCCCATTTATCTAAGATGACCCCTGCCATTTACCTGTGATGGGGTGTACCCAGACATCTTGAAGGCTGAAGTGACCAGGGGCAGCTCACTCTGCAGCAGCAACTCAATGTTGTGAGCTGTGCTGGAAAACAGGGGAGGGATGCCACTGGCTAGAAGATTGTTGGGGAGGATCTGGGGGAAAAAAGGGGAGGGAGTGGTTATGTCTCAGTTATGCTATTCATTAAAATATGCATTACCTAATAAATATTTATTTATTTCTTTTATTTAACTGAATGTTAATAAGAAGTTGAATTAGTTAACATAAGAAACAAAATTAAGTAAAAAGCCCTTTCAGTCAGAACGTTCTATTTGCTAGATAAAGTTCAACATATTAAGTGGTCAGCAATATGCTAAACCATGAACATAAATGCCAGGTGAATATCAATGAAGGTTTTGACTTAACAAGAATAAGTTTTGACTCACAGAGGAATGAAGCCTGACAATCCAGATGTACCCTGAGGTGCCAAGAGAAGACAACTTGTAAAGAAAATTCCAAGCCTTCTCTCTGTTGCCATTGAAGGCAAGAAAAACAGTGGCAGTGAACCAGTCAAAGCCAGGGTAGCTTCCCTCTAGGAATCCTAGGAGTTTGTTAAGGACAGTTTAACCTGGGTGTATGTGATTATTGGGATCATCCTGTGTGAACATCCCAGAATCTTACTAAGTTGAAGCTGGAATTTATCACTTGGCTAATGATAAAACTTTAAGGTGGTATCAAAATTGCATCAGCAATATTCATTACAATAGCTTAACAAAGTAATATTCAGTGCTTTAAAAAATGAATATATATTTTTATATTTAAGTTAATTTTTGCTCCAATTAACCAACACTTTTCTATTGTATGAGTCAGAAAGAAATATCACTATTGTAAGTCCTGAAAATAATGATAACTATAATACTAAAGCGAACATGGCAAGGCAATCTGATGCTATAAATTACGTATCTGGGGCAATTTTTAAAAAAAGAGAGAATTTTTTTTTTATTATGCAGCAAGTCTTGGGGCTTGTTCTCAACAGAACTTTATGCCTGGTTATTGACCATCTTTTTTTAACTACTGCATAAGTTGTGCAACTTATTAAACACAGGTTGTATAGATTCAGTAACAATAAAAAAAATAACAGTGATACAGTGTGTTGTCATGGATACGTAGTGATGACTTGAGGGATCTCTGCTGCTGCTTGAGGAAACATCCTGTCTGTTTCATCAGCTGGATCAGGTTCTCTGTGGACTCACTGGAGGCTGTCACAACCTTCAGGTGCATGCCATACCTGTCACAACAATTTACAAAGGGCATGTACTCTTAACATTAACTTGCTTCAGAAAAACCCCATTTTAGAAATCAGGTAATTGAAACTACACACATCACTGTTAAAAAAGTTGTAATTAAAAGTAATTTTATACCTTATTATAAAATATTTCAACAATGTTTTTTTTTAAATTACTTTTTTCAAACAAGTTGTGACAGTCATAATATAAGTAGACATATTTGTTTTCCCCATCAATAAATGTAAAAAATATATTCAACTTCATTAAGAAAGTTACCTGATGGTCATCTTGACTCCCAGAACTTGTATGGGAGATAACTTAAAATTCTTGATTGTGCTGTCTGTCCCTGTACATTCACATGAATCAAAGAAAGAATTTAATTATAGAAAATAAATATTAACAACCACAAAAAATTACTAAATTTTTTAAAGACAAAATAAAATGTTACCTGAGAAATCAAAGAGAGGAAAAATGGCTTCTTCCTGCAATTGTTGCTGATACTCCACTGTCTGCTCTAGGATCTGCAACAATACTGGGAGGGGGGGGGGAAGTACAACTAAATGTGGTACAGAATTTTAATGTACAATGGCTATTTAACAAAAAAGGATAACATTATTTATTAGTATTTTTTGAATACATAATAAAATGTGTTTTCTTACAGCTGCCTTTAACTTGTTCTGGTTTGTTTATTAGCAGCTTATAAAAGAGTTCTCTGCATTTTTCCATCCACACTTTTGGCTTTTTTTCTTGACGGCTTGCATTGAGAAACTTGCTCAACTCATTATCTGTAGATCAGAAAGCAATTTATTTTAAAATGATTAAGTTTTGTACAGAACTTACAAAAAAATTATATTATTTTAAAGACGTAAATAAATAATGTTCAACATAGAATGACAAAGCAGTATGGATTAGGCTAAAAATACAATTTTCCTTCCTATTTATTTTTAAAATAAAAGCATCTATCATGCTTAAGCTTTATACCATATATAAATTATAAATACAACAGAATGACAATTCTAATGGTAGTTTTTATACTGCAAGTAATTTATAGAGCGTGTGTGAATCAATCCCATTCAAGGTCAATGTTTGTTTTTATATTTTTCCTCTTAATTTCTTGATAGAAATCTAAACTTGCTAACTTATTCATCAACTTATTTTAACCTATCAGTGAAATAGGTAAAACAAAAAGCTATTTCTGGACATTAAGTTTTCATATAATTATATGGAATTATTCATAATTTACCTTGTTTGGTTGAAGATTTGGCCTGTATATTGGGCTGATATTCTTTAGGGATAGGGTAAGATGAAAATAGAATAGGGAGTTGAGCATGTGCTGGCTTGTCCTGGAAACAGAAAACAGTTGTGGAAATATAATATGTATCTATTCATTATTTAAGCAAAATAAATTGATCAGTTCAATAATAACATTGGAAAAACAATTATGTGAATGTAAACAATAGCATATAATAAACGATCAAAACAAAATTTTACAATCTTTTTATAATTTGCATTTAATATTAAATACACTACATGAGAACCTATTAAAAATTAAACAAATAATTGATGATTTAAAATTCTAAATTACTTAGGGAACAATAGATTTTTAAAAGCATCTCACTTATACATGGTGGTAATCACTTTTATTTAATAATTGGATTTTATTATTGTAATAATTTTTTACACTTCCACAAATTTATTTTTTTACTGCTAGGCAATCTTTAAAATACCTCATCAATGTGTTTGTCATTTAATGTTCTGGAGGGCAATATTCTCTCTGTTGGTCCTCCTATCAAGTATGTTTTAACAAGAATGTAGTTGCGCTCAACTGACAGGATATCAGTTATGAAGTCATCACTAATTGGAGGAATCAGAAAAAGGAATGCATGCTAATATATAGAATTGTATCAAATATAGAATGCCATTTGTTTTGTTTCTTTCATTGATGTTCTTGTGATGAATTTTTATCATATCCAATTATTTGACTGTCATTACTACATGAGGTTCTTAATATGAAATTATTTTGTTTTGTCTAATAAAAGATTTTTTTTAAATTTAAAAATGATCCAAACAAAATAACAATTCTTACCTCCCTTCTAATTTATTCTGTTCCTGTTCTTGCAGCAAAAATTCCTGGAATTTGTATTGGGACTGAAGAAGGAGGAATGTGTCCAGACAAGTGACCATGACTGACAATAACCTGTTGCAGATTTTAAAGTTACATCACTAAATATTTTTAGAGATTGTCTTGCAACTTAATAATTTAATGTTCAACAACCATTTTTCAAACAATTCATTTAACTTTAAATTAAGAATAAGTGAAATTACTTTTATCTTTATCAATCATATTACTACATGTAAAGTAATACAAAATTGTTTGATATCAACCACTAGCTAGTATGTCATTTATTGTTTAATTTATAAATAAATACTTTGCAATTTTAAAAAAATGAATTACCTGAGACCAAATGTGTAGGACTGCTCATAATTAAACAAGGAATGTATTTTGGCTGGGGAATCAACAACAATCAGCCTGTCTATTAGAGCCTGGCAACAGAAATAACAAAACATTTAACACATTCTAAACATTATTTAGTGAACTTAACACAATTTTTGTACAAATCTCATAAATGTTTTGAGTTATCTACATTAGGACCATAACAAGATAAACAAATTGGATGAATTGTACTAGGATAAGGCAGGATATGTACAAATTATCTGCATATTAAGTAAAACTGAGGTAAAAATTATTTTTTGAATTTAATTCTTGACAGATCACAAACAACATCTATGAGACAACTGTGTAAACTGGAACTAGCCTCAACTGGATCACATGTTTGAAAGGGTTAACACAGATGGTGATGTCTATCATCTGTGTTGAAGAGAAGAGTACTACATTTTGGTATATTACTCTAGCACACACTAGCTTGAGAAATCTCACCATGATAGAGTCAGGAATATCTCTGAGACTGTATGTATCTTTAGCAGGAAGTGGTTCTCCTCTCAGAAGTTCATAAACAGCCGGAAATGCAGACAGGATGTTGACAAGTCGGATGAAATGCTATGGATAAAATAACAAACAATAAATACAAGTTTAGAAAATAATAATTTTTAAAGCTGTAAATAAGAAAACAAAGTTTTATTTTTTTTATATCTATTATTAATATTATTTTTTATATCTTTACTTTACGTTAAAGATTTATGACAAAAATATTCAATATCTAATGCAAAATTTAGAAATGTTTAAGTCAATTTTAAATATACATTTCTTCAGTTTGGGTGAAATTTGTAGCATTAGTGTACCTGAAAGTAATTAGCTTAATAGTTACCTTCTGTGAGTTTCGATCAATAGGATCAACTGGCCAGGATTTAGGTGTAAATGCTGGAATATCTTGAGGCCCACACTCAATGGATGACCATGCCTCCATCAACAAAGCCTTGATATAACCTAAAAAACATATTGTAATCATATAAATAGTGGATATATTCTTAATACATAATCAGGCAAATTCTTATGCTTCAACCAAAGAGGTTACAAATGCCCCCATTTTCAGTATGAATTAGGAGACAAACCAATTTTTAAAACTAAAATAAAGATGATTGCTTATTGATATTGTTCTGGCATGTAATTTCAATGGACTAGTGACTTTTCAGTGTAAAAAATAATACATAATGCAGCAAGATCAAACCAACCAGTGCTTTGAAGAGCTTGTATGCCTGCAGAAGTAGCAGCTACTTGAGTTACCATAACACCATAACCAAACTTTTCACACTTGCTAACCTTAAGAAATAAAGACTTCATTTGAAATCTGTTATTAACTTCTTTAAATAACTTGTATGCTTAATTACAGCATTTCCCTGTACATAAGTTAACTGGCTGTATAAGACTCGTCCGACTTTTCTAGTTAAAATATAGTTTGGGATACAAGAGTACATAGCAACCACCCAGATTTTTTTTCATGGGTTTTAAATAATCTAACACTGAATATTAATAATTAAGTAAGAGGAGGGTGAGGGGGGAAGCAATCATTTTGTAAGAGCCTGAGGTGGGTAGAGGTTTGTATCAGGGTTTTACTCCTCAGACTATGTATCAGGCTAATCCAATTTAGTAGTGCTGTTTCACTCCTCTTTAGTTTAAAGTACCTTCAGCCTCCACTCCACCACTGTTATACTAGTAAAACAGTGAGAGTACTAAGGGATGAGGTGGTCATGGGATAGTGCATGCATCCCTGACAAGTGAAATGTGTAGAGCTACTGGTGTAAAAAAGTGTAAAAAAAACTGATGGACTCTACTTTGTCTGCCTTGTGAAAAATTAGGTATCAAAACGTCCGTTACAAATACAATACATATAATTACACAACAAACCTGCAGTTTTTTTTCATATCGTGAGTACATGTACCTCACACACTCATTGAATTCCCCAGTCTGGTGGAGAAGGACAATGCCCTTGGCTGTGCTGGCAAAGTTCAACAAATTGTCTTGTAATGTTTCCTTCCATGAGTCCCTGATAGTGAGAAAAAGTACATAGAAAATATAATCATTGAACAAAAAAGAATTAGTACATTGAAAATGTTATCATTCGATATACATGAAATATGTAAGAATAAGTTCAAATTAGTTTGCACTGAAAACTGATTTTAAAAAGGCTTTTGTTCATAGTGTACAAAATTAATAAAAAAAATTAAATACAACTGAAATTTTACTGAATGAATCTACTTTATCATATGTATTACATTCTAATATTTGTCATGTAAATTTCTAAGCATATAAAAGTTATGACATCAGAAAGAATTAGTATAAAAAGAAAAATTCCAAAAGCCAGAAATGTAAGGTATTTAAAAAAAATGTAATTGACATACAAGACAGAATCTTTTTCACTTTTTACAACAGGAAGAGATGCATCTGACTTTTCCCTTTGAAGCTATGAAGAAAGAATTTTAAAAATCTATCAAAAATAATTTTAAAATAAAATTGTAAGAATTATTTATTGACTGATAATAATTTTGTTTTCAAGCAATCTAGACAATAAGGTAACAAAAAAAAAAACTTTAAAAAATCTTTTAAACATTTCCAAGTCCGTTTGTTTAAATTCATAATACATTTCAGTTTCCATAGCTTTTTGAAAAACCCTACGTGGCGTAGTCAAAGATATAACTAAATTTTTGATTGGACTAAATGTTCTAACCTGCTTCCAAGCCTGAGCTATGCAGCTGTGCAGCTCATACTGTGAGAGGACATAGAGCCCTTCTGGCGTGTTGTACAGCTGACGGCAGACGTAGAGATATGCTCCAATCACAAGGTAGGACGGGGGTGCCAATAATTTGGGCAGGTTGTTGGACAACGATCTCTTGGTGAAGTCTGCAATAATGTGTGCTGCAGATGACCTGGAAAAAGACAGATAAAAACAGTCACAGCTTTGTTTCTAAAATAGTTAATTTTAGTTTTCTGGAAGAGACATGGCAGTGAACAGAGAAGTGTAGGAGGGAAATTTTAAGGACATTCACCCCAACAGTCCACCTAGAGTACTGGATCAAAGAATTAGAAGAAACTTTTAACTGTTGCTGCAATAATTAACATTTTAAAATATACCTTTTCAATTAATTAATTAATTATTCAGATAAAAAAGAAATTACATTATTCTAAAATCATTTGAATTCTCTTACTTGGATTTAGCCAATAAGGATTTGCCTTCCCCGTACAACAGGAAACGTCGGCCAATAGCTGTTGAAGCAACTGCACACAGTATATCAGCAATATGAAGCAGAGTTTTCTCTGATGGTACAGGGTTATCCTAAATAATAAACATTTGATTTAATTAAATGATACACATTTGATATAATAAAGTCAACATTTTTAAAAAATTATTTACCTAGAATGATTAACTAAAAAAATAATATAGACTAAAAATAAACAAAATAGATTTTGAGTTTGCAAATTTGCTTAAAATAGTTAATTAAAACAATAGTGTGTACTTAAGCTGACTTTACCATGTTAGACAAAAAAATAAGTTCAAGAAAACAAAACAACTTACTGGTGATGCTTCTAAGAAAGCAACAATAGGTGATAGCAACAAGTTCATCATCTCATCTTTGCACAGTGCTATGCTACACATAGCCTCAGTGATACAAAGGGACTTTAAAACTTCACTCACTAATGATGAAGGCTCAAATTTAACTGAAATAAATATTGTATGGGGACAGTTGTTTAAAGACTTCTAAAATATCTTCTTTTTTTTAATGTGTATTAAGTAATTCTTATGTAGTGCCTAAATTAAATAATAGAAAATTATGGTTTAATTTAGAATTAGTTTTTTTTATAAGTCCGGCACTTATAAACATTACATTCATAATCTTATTTACCTTTCCCAGTTTTTCTATCAGCAGAAACCATTTCAGGATCAACAACTAGTCCCAGTAAAGACTTCAATAGATGGTACATGTTTACTGAAAAATTTTATACCCGCAGTTGTATATTTTGTGGTTGATGTACAGAATTATATAATAAAATATATATAAGATTATTATTAAAATACTGTGGAAAGAAATAATTTATAATGGGCTTCACTTTACCTTGTTTATCTTTCAATTTAATGGGGAAGAATGACCTCCCCTTTTCATAAAACAGCAGACTACCAAGAAAAGATAATGAATGGACAAACAATGCATATTCTAATTCAGGCCCAGTGTAATAAAGTCTTTTTCCATTGCCAGCTGTAAAATGTTTAAAAAAGTAACTAGTTAATCATGCATCAATTATTCAATTAACATAATAATTTATTACTTTCCTTCTTGAAAAAAATTAAATTATGCTATGCAGTAAAAAGTTATAATAAAACAAACAGTTCAAACATACAGTTGGCAGTAAAACTCTGCATACTAATTAAATACCAGATACCAACTAACAAGTAAACAACACTGCCTCCTAGTATTAAACTAAAGGTTAAAAAGTGTTCACTCACTCATAGAAAGTTTCAACAGGTCATCTGACACTTGGGCCACTTCATCATTTGGAGATCTGTGAGAGGATGAGTAGTCCAAACAATACCTTACAGAGGTTTCAACCTGTTGATGCAAGAACTTATGTTCAACTCATTTCAGCAGAAAAACATTTACCTCAGACATTCCCCATTACAAAAGTTAAACATTCTCACACACCCCCCCCCCCCCAACAGGGGACGGAGTGGTCTAGTGGTAGAGAGCTGGACTGCTAACCCGTAAGTCTCAAGTTCGAATCTGGGTTCAAGGCAGTAGACCGTCCCTGAGTCCACCCAACTCTGATGGGTACCTAACTCATGTTAGGGTAAGTAAAGGCAGCTAGGCATAATGCTGACCACACTATCTCTTCATATGCCAAGGCAACAGAAACAAGTGAACTCTACTTCACTTGCCCTATAGACTGTCAGGTTTAAAAGGGAACTTTATCCCCCAACCAAAGAAAAAGTAAACCTATTCACTTCACTAATTAAACAGTAAAACATTCACTCCACTCTTTAGCTTCAACATAGACTGGATTAGTTATTCTATGGAGCTTTCTAAACACTACTAGCAATGTTCAATAAGACAGACACAATGACAATTTTATTAATAATAAAAATTAAACTAAGACATTCCAACTTACAATGGCCTTGTACTGTTTCAGTTCTTCTAACAGTTTTCTTCTACAATAATTTGCATGCTGCATGAAAAAGTATAGTAAGTTAATTAAGGCCAGGTAATGTAGCATCCATAAAGGCTAAATTTTTATACATCACACAAGAGAATCTTGAATCTTACTTAATTTAATTCAAAGAAATCACGGCCTTAAACTTAAAAGTTAATTGCTCTCCTTGAGTATAAAATGGCACCCATCAGGATTAGGTCAACCTAGTAAGTGTTGACTCAATAGGGTTGAAATCAGATTGAAAACATTAAATGTCAATCACAAAGATGAAAAAATGTATTGAAATTGTTTACTTCTACACTAGGAAAGCAGATACTGTTTGAGTTAAATAATTTTAAAGATAGAAACATTTGACTGACCATCCACTTGGTAAACCACTGGGCCCCGGGGTCAAGAATAGCAACAAAGTGTAAGGGAAATAACTTCACATTCTGGGATTGTGCTGGTATCTGCAAGCTGAGCAGGTTTAATGAATTGTGAACTATCTCTTCCAGATAGGTCAAAGGGTAGCGCACCCAGTAGTTGGGGGCTTCTTGTTGGAACTCCACCATTAAACGGAACTGGGGAAAGTTAAAAATATAGGACAAATTATGATTATTATACTTATTATTATCAAACAATTCTTTAGATAAAAAAACATTTTTTGAGAAATATTCTAAGAAAATAAATACAGATGTAAATCTTACTCCTTTAATCAGCTTAATCATGGCTTTGTTAGAGCAGTCCAGACCTTTGTTCACAGGTGGCATGGTCATTGATCTGAACTGACCGCACAAAAATTCAACTGAAACCAACAATAAACGTTAAGATTGAAATACCAAACTGACAACACAAATATTTTTTTTAAAAAGTAACAAATATCTTTAAAATAAAATCATGGTGTCTAAAACTATTTTTTTATAACCAGATTTGTAATCACATTGTACCATTTACTACTACCTCAATGCAAATTAAGATAATTATAATTTTTCTAATAATAATAATTAAGAAGATAAAAAAACATTATTTTAAATAAAAGACAATTATGGATAAGACTTTTAGTTATTAAAAAAGAAACTGAAACTTACTGAGTAGTATGAATACCTGGCTGGTGTAATGAGATGTATGAGTGAAAGATTTACCAACAAACTTTAAACTCAAGTCCTGAAATGTCAGAAAAATAAATGATCAGTTTGGGATTTTTTTTAAATAAATAAATTGTTCAAAAAGAAAATATTATGTTTGGAGAAAATTTTCAAAATAATTTTTAAAAATTAATTTAAGCACACTTTTAAAAAGAGGTGCATCAATGTTGATAAAGAAATGTATTTACTGAAAGTTCATCATCTGGGTCAGCCATTACATCTAGAAGGTTTTTGCGCAGCTGTTGCCAGTGTTTATTGTGAACTATTTCCCCTGATATTATCTGGTTCAGTTTCTGCATGTATTCCCTGCGAGTCTAATTTTTAAAAAATTAATTATGAACCAAATGTTGAATTATAAAACTTATTCAAACAAACATCACTTAAGATATTTATAAGATTATTTTTCAATTAACTAATACCATTTTAAATTAAGTTCTTAAATTATATAATAACTGTTTTTATCAAATTTTTATTCTATGAAAATAGGAAAGTAAATAGAAAATATTGGAAAAATAGCTTACAAACATATTTTAAGAAAGCTTTTATAAAACACTAATTGTTTTTTAACCTACCACTAAATTTTTAGTCTTGCTCAAGTTCTCAGCAATGCCTTTCAAATAGTCTTGATTAAACAGCATTACACTGCCCTAAAAAAAATCTAGTTATTAAATGCTTTAAAAAAACAATACACACATTACAACATTTGTAACAAAAAGGGAAATTAATTTTAAAATGAATTTAAACTAATCAATTAAAATATTCTTAACATTATGCTAACAAATATACATGGGAAAATGCATTAAATAATTTTAGCAAAGACAATAATTATAATTGAACATAGAGCACTGTAATCACTAGGGTTAGGGTTAAAGGGTAGCAAAACAATGTAAAAAGCATTTTATAAACAATAGTTAGATAAGAATAAAAAGCATAATTTGGCCTCAAAGGTTTAAGAAAACATGTTTAACTTATTTTAGTTTTTATGCTTTTTAATTGAATTATGATATACAATTTTGTAATCTGTATAATTAAAATACTTCTCTGAGAGGCTGAATTATGTCAATGTGCTACATCTTTATAAGTGTACATACATACATGCATATAAATGCAAATGTTTATGTGTACACATACAAATGTATATATGAATATAAGAAAAAAAAACTAATTTTTTAAATTGCCTATTGAAAAAGCAATAAAATAAATATTTCAATGTTGTAGCCATGCCACTAATACTTGTAAAATATGAACACACAAAGCTTGGCCATCCTCAAGTATGTATAAAGTTTTAACAAGAATATTGTAAGATTGACAAATGCCAAACTGTTTTGACTTGTATTAAAATACCAAATGGTATTTTGCTAATTTTAAAGCAGTGATTGTGCAAAATATTAACATTAGAAACCAAATTAAACTGCTGTGAGTTTGCTTATCATCACACACTTTTTCACTGCAAATTGTTGAGAGCATAAACAATTAATTTAAAGATTTTAAAATTTAAAAATAAATTAAAAATATTTTTTTCACAACTGCTATTAATTACTAATTATTGTTGCCGTTAAATTGCTAATATTTTATTTAGGAACTGTAATTGGTCTATACTCTCAAACAGTTTGGGTGTTAGAGGACTTCTACTGCACACAGAAGCTTCGAACCTGATCACATAAGCTATTAAATGATGATACCTCTTCATCATCTGTGCTCATAGGTGTCTTAAGTGGACCCTCAGTGTCAATACCAGTCCTAATATCAAACTCATCATTGAAGTTGGATACCAAGTTTTTTACTGCTTCACTAACATTTTTACCTAGCTTTGACTTTAAGTCCATGTATCTGTATAAAAAATATGAAATAAAAAATTTATAAATGAACTTTGAAATGTACAAAAGTGACTTTGATTCATGAATCAAAATAAAGTTAAAAGAGGAATGCTTTGATGTTATTTCTACTCACTCTCTGGATTGTAATATGTGGTCTATGATGTTATTAACTCTACTTTCATGGTTATCTGCATGGCCTGCAATGGAATTTCTCTCCGGCTCTTCATTGATTAATGGACTGAGGGTTTCATCAAGTTTACGCTTCAGTGCTTTAACAAATTCATGCCTGGCAATTTTATTTTAAATATATATACACCACAATACATGAAAAATTTTCATATTTCTCATCACTACATTATATACCTATGTGAATCTATGGTTATTAACACTGACGAAAAATAACTAATACAAATATTAATAATGGAAATAATTTATCAAGTTAGAAATTAACTAAAATGACCTGTGAAAATTTTCGTCATTTTCTTCCAAATGAAGTAGTGTTTCCTCTGCTTGTTCAAATGATTCAGCATCTTTTATTATTGGCTCCCAGCTAGTAATCAGCTCTTTTAATCCTCGTTTCAAATCTTCACCTTCTAAACCTCGCATATTCATTTTTATGATGGATTGTTTCTGTTAAAAGATTATGTATTTAATTTAAAATATATATAGGCTAAATAATGACACAGAATCCAACATTTTCACTCAGTACAAAGATATAAGATGATTAAAAACTAAAAATTTTTGTCAAGATAAAAATAGATATTCTATACATGTAAGCTTATTTCTTTGTGAAGATTTTAGTTACACTAATTTTAAAAACTATTTGAATAGGCCTGCTTGTGAGATAAATAAAGTTTATTTTTCTAAACTCCAGAATATTGATTTAGCTTTCGATCTAAGCCTGTTGTTCATTGTTAAAGAATATACTTTTGTGAAAACCCTACTTTTCTTAATACAAATCCCAAATAGAAAAGTTGCATACACTTCTTGCATAAAAATGGACTAACAAAATATTTATTTCTTTATAATCTAGTCTCTCATTTAAATAATTATGGTAATAATAAGATTTTATGAGACTAGCAGAGTCAAATTTATACTAGCATTACTATATTTATTTAACTAAGTCTTAAACTCTCTTAAGGCATACAACTTTATTTAGATACATCTAGATCTATGAAAGTTACTAGTTCCAGGGCCTACTACTTACTACAGTAACTACTTTTACTAACTAAACTATTAAAAACTAGTGCTAGTAAAAATAAACCAGGAGTGATCTCCCCTAAACTTTCTCGAATATTCTTATATGAAACAAAAGGGGAATGCAACTCGGGATATAGATATGACTTTTAATCCATTTTAAATACTTAAACTTTTTAAAATAGAATAAAATCTCGTAGAAAAAAGAATTGCACACCAAGTGAACACCAAATAAAATATGCATAATAGTGGGGAATATTATTAACACTTTATAAATTCACATGCGTTTTTTGAGAAATCGGAAAAAGTAAAAATTACTAGATTCTACTTCTGGTAAACAGAAATTACTCAAAATTTGATAGAAGGCAGAGCATTAGATCTTTTACTTGCATGTGAAATTTCATTTATCTATCTGAAATAGTGCTCAAGTAAGAGGCTTTTGAAAAATTCAAAGTAGAAAAAGCTCCACTTCCGGTTATCGGAAATCGCTCAAAAGTTGATATGAATCTATGATTTTGGTATAATACTTATATTATATATGAAATTTTATCAACCTAGCTGTAACGGTGCTCAAGTTATCTTGTTTACACATGCACAAACACACAAGATTGCAAAACTATGTTTTTCCGACTCAGGGAGGTGTAAAACGTCGAGATTTACAAAAATTACAAGAGTTTCTCTATACTTCGTTTATACGAGAAAGTAAAAAATACTAAAAATAGTTTTAAAAATAGTGCCATTAGTCCATTACATTAGGTAAAACTCCATTTTAGCGTATTTTATTCTCCGCTGCTTGTTTACCTCCAGTTGAGCGTATTTTATTATAATAACCAAAACACACCATAACATTAGAAAAACATGATTTATTTATTTGTATTGTATTTTTGTTTAACAAATGAATTAAAAAAAAAAGAGATTGACTTTGTTTTAATTTTGATAATTTACTTTTGTCAAAACTTGAGAAAAAATCCAAATTTAGATTATTGAATGATATGAATGTGCTATGTTCGTGTGTCAGAATTTTCATGGCAATGGGTGAAGTACGTAAACGTAACTCACAATTGCAAGACGGTTAAGTTTGTATTTTTACAAGTATCTCCCAGGCATGATACTATAAATAAACATTTATGAACTGACAATGACCCAAGACTGAGGCCAACACAATTTCAAACAGCTATTGCCCGAGCTATGATGTATGCTGATAATTAAAGTCTATGTGAACTCACTGTGAACCCGCGACCGTGTAAGGTTTTTTCTCCCGCTGACGATCACATGATATTTAATTGGAACAGTTCTAATGCTTTTTTTTTTTACCTTTTCTAATTAAAAACCACATTCATAAAAAAAAGTAGATCTAATGTTTTCCTAACGTTTTTGTGTGTTTCAGTTGTGTTTATAATAAAATACGCTCAACTGGAGGTGAACGTGAAGCGGGGAATAAAATACGCTAAAATGGAGTTTTACCATTACAAATTACATTATTCATTATTCACTACTTAAAATATTGTTTAAACTTTAAACTAAGCATGGATGTTGCTGTTTTTTTTATTTTATTTATTCAATTATTAGGCTATGAGATTATTGAGTCTATGATCAATACAAGAAGTTAGCCAAACAATTTTTTTTTAAAACCTCAGAAAAACAGAGGAAAGGACTAGAAAAGCATTCATTCATTCCATTGTCGCCATTTTGACGCTATTTGTTTCTACGGAAAATGTGCCAGAATTTTTAACATTTCGAGAGTGTTTTCAATGTGGTAACTAGATCTACTATAGTAGGCTACTTGTAGATAGATAAAGAGATACAGAAGTTTAATATAAGCAATATAATTAATCAAAATTATAATGTAGACCAATACACAAGCTTCAACTGCGTGTTTTAAACTTCTAAACCGTAAAATGGACAAAAGCCGGCTGGCTCTGGTTAAAATAAAATAATATTTTTCTTTTCCTGCTGGCGCAAAATGTTTTTTTTTTAAATTGTAGACATATGTTTTAAATTTGTTTACATGATGTATCATAAAAATAGCTTATTATATTTAAAATAGTAAGCAGTGGGTATTCTTTTAAATAATGTTTAATACAATCTGGACAGTGTTTACAGATTTAAGAAAAAAATTTTAGTAAATAAAAAAACCGGATGGTAAGAAAGAAGAAACAAATATAATCCATATTCTAGATTGTTTTTATTTGTATACAACTTTGACTTTGAATAGTTTGTAGACTCAGTTTAGACTAGTTAGTTTAGAGTAGTTGAGACACTAGTCTTGACTAGTAGATCTAGTAACAAATTATTTTGTTTGTTTTAGAATTTAGATGCAGTGAGTATGTGGAGTAATCCGATAATATTTATTTTAACAATCTCAGCATTAAACTTAAACAGTTATGGAAAACATTTCAGTCAGCTTGTGAGATGACAGCTTAAAAATTGTCTTTAAGAAATAAATTAAATATTATTAAATATGTTGCGTGTGAATACTTCACTCTTGAGAGTGGTCTATGGAGACTTCACTTCTAGACTGTCAAAGACTGGGAAGTGTAACACATCTGACTGGTGGAGCCGCCAGCTATCTACATCAACATTGCTGATGTCCAGTGATGAAAAAAAACAACTTCCAACAAAATGCAAGGTTGTGATCTGTGGTGGTGGTATTGTTGGATCATCAGTTGCTTATCACTTAGCAGAGAGAGGATGGACTGATGTTATGATTTTGGAGCAAGGAACGTGAGTTTCTTTGAATTGTTTCAATTAATTTGATGCTTTTTGTTCTTGACAATTCTTAGTCTACATTAGAGATGTGTTTATAATTATAATTTCCCATCACTTTTTCAGCTCTCCAGATTCTATCTTGTGTCATTCTCTTCAGTTCTTCATGAATTTATTTAACATAATTTTTTTCTCTTTGAAGTTTGACATGCGGTACAACGTGGCACACTGGTGGTCTAGTTGGGAGGGTGCGAACAAATCCAGTTGAAATGAAAATTCTTGACTACAGTAAAAAACTGTATGAGCGGTTACAAAATGAAGGATATGATATAGGTAAGTTTGAAAAATAAGAACTATTATTATAGTATTATAAAGGGTTTGAAATACATAAATGGTGCTAAAATACTTCTTGCAGTTAATATGAAGTCCTTTTGTAAATTAAGATGAGTCAATTGTTAAATATTTAGGTTATAAAGTATAAATACTATTATTAAACAAAAATCTTTAGAAATAATTAAAATCTTTTTAAAATTTTTAACAAGGTTGGAGGGAATGTGGAAGTATAAATGTAGCAAGAACAAAAGAGAGATTGGTGGAGTTCAAACGAAAACATGCAGTTGCAAAGTATGTGTTTTTTTAAACTATCTATTTGACCAATTTTGGCTACCCTTCAATTTCAGAAATGGATTCTGATAATTATTTTTCATTTTATTTTCTCATAAAGTAAGATCCCTGCAAACTTTTTAGGTTGTTGTATTATCCTAATTTTATAGAACCATAGGATTGGAAACACATCTCATATCCCCATCAGAAGCAAAAGAGCGTTGCTCTATGTTATTTACTGATGATCTTGTGGTTAGTATTATTTTTTTTATTCTTAATGTTCAATTTACTTCGTGTTATTATTGTTTTAGTTTTATATTTGTAATTGTATATATATATATATGTATATAGTTATGGGACAGAGTGGACTAGAGGTAGAGAGCTGGACTGCTAACCCGTAAAACTCTCGGCTGGGCATAGTGCTGACCACACAATCCCTTAATATGCCGAGGTCACAGAAACAAGTGAACTCTACTTCACTTGCCCCGTAGACCATAAGGTTTGAAAGGGAAATTTACTTTTTACTTTATATATAGTTGTTGTTGATTCTATAAATACCTATTGTGGTCACTTAATTGCTTGATCTTAATCTGTAATTACTGTCTGCTGTTAGTAAAATTTTTTATCTACATGGAACTTTGGAACCTATTTATAGTCACAAGGCCTATTTGTCATGGGTGTTTAGGCAGTAGAGCATAAGGGGTCTAGGACATTTACCCCCTAACTCCAAACTCCAACCCTATGATTAAAGCTAACCCTAAACCAAACCCAACTCATACTAGACCTATCTCTTACCTTTATCCTAAACTTAAGCATATGACACAGCCTAGAACTAAACCCAACCCTAACCCTGGACAATAGTTTACGTCTAACTCTAGCGCTTACCCTAGCCCTCGTGCTAACCCTAACTGTACATTATACCTTAAGCTATCAGGGGGGGGGATGGGGAGTTAATTGACAGGGGGATAATGTCTTGTTCCCGAGCATAAGTCTACTAATTTGAAAATCTTGGGTTCTGATCTGAGGCTGAGTCCATAGACATCCCTGAGTCCACCCATCTCTGATAGGTATTTGAATTGGGGAGAGTGAAGGCAGCTGGGTATACAATAAACCACCCAATCCCTTCATTTGCAAAAGTTACAGAATCAGGTGAACTCTACATCACCTACCCTTCTGCCTGTCAGGTCCAAAAGGGTATTTTTACTTTTTTAAGCCTCTCAGCTCAGTAACTGAAATACAAAAAGTATTGGGTTGTTTTATTTTTATAAATATATAGGCCTACTTAATTACTTATTATGGTTAATTTATTTTGTGGCCAGCAATTTGAAAAATTGGAGAATTAATTGTTGTATAAGTTTTTCTATTTACTTTTAGGGTGCAATGTGGGTACCACAAGATGGTGTTGTGAATGGTCATAAGTTATCACTCACCCTTGCTGAAATAGCCAAAAAAAAAGGTGTGTTAACCTGACTACACCCAGATACATTTTAGTGCATACCTGTCTGCTCCTAATGTTGAATAAATTTTCTTCTGCTTGTTTAAACTGCTCCAGGATTTAGTTTCCATTGAAAAATAATACCATTCTCAACAGTTGCACCTTATCCAAAGCCTTTAGATCTGCATCAGAGCTTTTTTGTTTCATTTTTATTTTGACGAGGGCTAGGTTAATATTGAGTTACAAATCCATTTTGCAGGTGTGTCGGTCTATGAGGGAGTAAGTGTGACAAAAGTTGTAACAAATAAAGGTGAGGTGAAAGAAGTGGTCACCAGTGAAGGGACAATACAGTGCGAATATTTTGTCAACTGTGCTGGGCAGGTAACTCTTGTTAAAAAGCATCAGAAACATAATTACGCCTCTTGAGAACCAGAGTAGACTTGATCTTTTCACTGCTATTCATATATATTTTAGGTAGAAAGAAGTTACACCTTCCCTTAGCTACTCAAATAACTGGCATTCCTTAAATTCAGTTTTATTTGGTATTTATTTTTTAGAATACTCAGTACTTTAAACAAATAGTTTGTTGTTTTTTAATAGTGGGCCAGAGCTGTAGGTAAGAGAACTGTTCCCAAAACTGTGAAAGCGCCTTTACACTCTTGTGAACATTACTACATGATAACAAAACCCCAAGAGGGGATAACACAACTTATGCCAGGTGAGTGGATTTACAAAAACAAGACCACTAAGTCATTTACTAATGTTTTTGTTATGTAATAAGTTGTAAAAAAAAAATTTACAATTTTTTTAAGGAAATGGTTTCTAAAGGAGCTGTTACAATAAATTACATAAATGATTTTTGTGATGGCAAACACTTTATTAAAACACCTCACCTTTCTTTCTTAAATATATATATATATATATATATATATATATATATATATATATATATATATATATATATATATATATATAGTTTTATAAGTGTTGATAAAACTAAATGTATACCAACTGTCCTCAGTTGTTAGAGACTATGATGGACTTGTTTACTTCCGTGAGTGGAACCAAGGGATTTTAGCAGGAGGTTTTGAAATCAGTGCCAAGCCTTGCTTTCATAAAGGCATCCCTGAGAAATTTGAGTTTCAGCTACTGCATGAGGATTGGGATCATTTTCGTAAGAATTTCTTTTCAACAAAAAAAAACCTGTTACATGTACAAATTGCTGTGGGTCAGTTCAATGTTTAGTTTTATATGAATGAAAAGTTTCTTATCAGAAAGAGTCATGGCATAAGCTGCAGTTTTGAATACTCTAGAAAAAAATAATAAAGACACATTACCCTTTTAATAGTTTAAGGTAGATGAATCAGAGTTCATTTCTTTATCTGTGCACTACATATGAGAGGATCAAGAAGCACTATATTATTTTCCCTGATTAAAATTTAGTGATTGATACCTATGGCTTTCTGGTCAGCTATTTTTTTTCATAAATGAAAAATGAATTAAATATTGCACAGCAGTTGAAAACAAAAGTTACTAGTTGTTACTTGTTTCTTCTGGATATTCAAGTTTTTCATGCTTGCTTGTACTCTAAGTAAAAGAGCCAACAAATTAACCATTGATAGTATTACTTCAAATAAAACTACATTATTAAGCCGTATTTGACTTGTGTTTGCAATTTATTTCCAGAGATTTCACTAGATAACATTATACACAGGATGCCAATGTTGGCCAGTGCTGAGGTTCAGCAGTTGGTGAATGGGCCAGAAAGTTTCACACCTGATTCTAAGTGGCTGCTGGGGAAATCACCCAAGGTTCTGTACAGGTTTTCTAAATTTGGCTTTAAACTAGTCTTGTGTTGTTAGGGTATTTGGGTGCTCAACCTGAAAATGTGTTGCTATGTTGTACCTTTTTGCTCTTGAGTAGGTTATCATTTAATGATTTGGTCAATTTTTTCTTTACACAAGTCATCCTAAAAATAGTTTACTATAATAATTCACTTAGTTTTTATTTTAACTCTTACATTTTTGGGCTACTATACAAAAACTCCCTAGACATAACCTTCCTGGACACACATGCACACTCATACACTCTCTCAGCACCCAGGCTTGAGTCTGTAGGATATCCTTGAATCCACCCAACTCTAAAGGGTACATAATTTAAGTTTAGTGAAAGTCATGGTGCTGACCACACTATCCCTTCACATGTTGAGTGCACAGAAACAAGTGAAGTCAACTTCTGCCCCCATGGATCACCAATTCTCCAACATAAAAAAAAACATTGAGAACAGCTTCAGAATTTTAAATTTGCAAAGTTATGATTTATTAAATATTACTACATCAAACAAAATTAATAATGTTTAAATTTAATTGTTAAAACAATTTTTTGTTTCAATTCAGCAAGCACTTTTATTCCCTATTTGAACCTCAAATATCAAATTTATCCCCAGAAGTCTTTTTGTACAGACAATTTTGTGTGTTTTGATACTACTTTAGGCAAAACTTGATGGCCTCTATTTTCGACTTAGTACATCAGTGACTTATGTCTGCAAATCATTGTTTTATTTTTGTCAGTATTGACTAGCTTTTCCGAAACATTTCAGTTGAAAAACTACTACATGGCAGCAGGCATGAACTCAACTGGGATTGCCGGGGCTGGAGGAGCTGGCAAACATATTGCTGAGTGGATTGTGGATGATGACACAAGTCTCAATCTGTGGGCATACGATGTCAGAAGATTTGTACGTTTGCATAACAATAAAAAGTTCCTAAGGGATCGAATGCCAGAAGCTTTCGGTACACATTGTTTGCAATATATAAATGACATTCTTTTTTTATTATTTTAGCTACGCATTTAAACATTCTCTGTTATAAAACTAAAAAATCTACTTAGATTGAATTAACCTGTGTATTTGGATTTCATAGATTTGTGTAATAATATCATGTAACTGTGTCGCTCAGTTTTAGATTTATGTCAGAGATTTCAGATTGAATGTTTGGCTTATGTTTCCCACTAGCCAACCAATACCTCCTCAAATATCCTAGAGAAGAATATAAAACTGGGAGAAAGTTGCGCTGCTCCCCCCTCCATACTCGGCTAGAGGTAGCTGGTGCTGTATTTGGTGAAACTATGGCTTATGAGCGGGCCATGTATTTCAACAACCCTGAAGGTATTTTTAATAGATCTATGTTCCTTGACAAACAATAAATGCTTAAACCTGTTTTGCTCGATTAATATATTTTTTAAAATGTCTTACCTCCGGTGTAAAGGAACTTAACAACTTGGTAAAAAAAAGTCTAATAGTCATCCTTTGCTTCTGATTATTCTACAGTGTGCATATAAAATGTTGTATTCTAGCATTTACATTGGGTCAAGAAGTTGGCTCACAATGGTCCTGGTCCAAGCCTTGTTGGTTTGAGAACGTCCAAGAAGAATATTGGGCCTGTAAGGAGCGGGTATGTCTGATGGACATGTCCTCATTTGCAAAGTTTGAAGTCAGGGTAGGTAACTCATTGTGTATTTTCTAAAAAAACACATTTCTCAATTATTTTATGTGTTATTTCAGTGTTGTTCATATCACTTTATTATTTATTAGAAATAATTAGTATCAAAATTTTGTTGCATTCAGAAATGAAAGTAGTTTTTAATTTTTCTATTTTAATCCCCCCCCCCCCCCCCTCCCCATATTTCTTTTAGTCGCAAGGAGATGAAGCAACAACTTATCTTAATTATCTGTGTTCAAATAAAATAGACAATGAAATAGGGACCATTGTTCATACTGGGATGCATAATGTCCATGGAGGCTTTGAGAATGATTGTACAGTTGCCCGCCTAGAGCCCAACCAGTAAGTGTGCATTTTCCAAACTATATGTTGCGGATGCACGAAATGATAATAATGGAAGTGTGAAAAGATTTCAGAAATAAAAACAGAAAGTTTCCTGATGAAAAAAATAATGATAAAAAAAGTGTTAACATAACCTGCTAATCAGTAGCCTATTTTAAAAATAGTTACAGACACCTCATTGTAATATCAATATACATAAACTTTGATATGGACGTAGCAAATCTTTGCTGAATTAAAATGACCTATTTAATGTTCACACATGTTTCCAAACTTGAATCCTTGAATAATAATTTATTTTAAATAATTGAGTTACATTTAGTTTGGGTCATTTAAATAATTTATGAAAAGTAGCCTTAACCTACTTTCATGCTTTATTTTTCTACCTGAAAATACAACTAATTTAGAATTTAGAAAAAGCTGCTTGAATAGTAATGAGTTATCCCCTGTCCTCAGCTACTTTATCATCTGCCCAGCCACCCAGCAAACACGAGCCATAGCCTGGCTCAACAAACACCTCCCACCAGATGGCTCGGTGCAGGTGACAGACGTGACCTCCATGTTCTCAGGGATCAATATCATTGGCCCACATGCCCAGCAGCTGCTTGCTGATGTCTCAGATTTTCCCACCAACAAGACAGACTTCCGACCAATGACGACTAACATGATAGATGTGGGCCATGCAAGTAGCATCAGGGCCATGCGGTTAACTCACACTGGAGAGGATGGTTTTATTTTGTACATACCTGCTGAAGTTAGTTATCAATTTTATACTTCTTTTTTTCATTTCAATCTGCTTCTTTATTTGTTACATCCCATTACACATTAATATGTGTTGTTTGTTTTAGACAAAGTATTTTAGATGAAAAACAATAAAATTTATTTCATTTTTTTTTTTTTTTGAAAGACATCAGACATTAATGTTTTTAAATTTAAATTCATTTATACACCAGTGTTCTATTTTCTTTAGATTTTTTAATTGAGCCCCAATATATACATCCCACTGTCTTATTATAATCTGAATTCTATGATTCTAAAATTATGGAATGTTCAGTTGAATTATTTTTTTTGCAGTATGCACTCCACGTGTATGACACCCTTATGACAGCTGGAAAAGATTATGGAGTTCGCAATGCTGGATACTATGCTCTAAGACATTTACGTATTGAAAACTTCTTTGCCTTTTGGGGTCTTGACTTAGATGACAAGACTTCTCCTCTCGAATGTGGTCGAGGATTTCGAACAAAACTTGATGTAAGTACATCGCTGCTTTTCAAAAAAACTTTTGACACATGTTGAGCTGACCTAATTCTTATCACTGTTTTGTATTGTTTTAAATTTCATAAACTTTTAATTTTGATTTGATTATTTGGAGATTTCCTTACGTCAATAAAAACATCGGTCAAGTGAATCATCTATACTGAATGTACATGTGGAATTGTAATCTGTAGGAAAATGATGACTTCATTGGTAAAGCGGCTTTGTTGAAACAACGCCAGATGGGTGTGAAAAGAAGGTTTACTCAGTTTTTCTTGGAAGATTATGATGTACACAATGATTATTGGCCCTGGGGAGGTGAACCTATTTATAGAAATGGGAAGTATGTTGGCATGACAACAACATGCAGTTATGGGTAAGTTGCATGAAGCTACTATTTATGTATAGTATATTACGTATGAAGTAAATGGGGAGAGGCTATTAGTAATTGATTCAGTAATGTATACCGTAATTTGAGCTGATTGCTAACAATGGATTTACACTCACTTATAAATCCTGAATCTTGACAAGAATTTTTTTTACTGGGCGTGCATTAATGAGAGGGTCAGTGTTTAAGAATTTTTATTTGTCATACAAGGTGCAAGATTTTACTGTTAACAAGTTGGGTTGTAAAGACAGGAATATGAAGGCTTATGTGGGTGCAAATAAAGAGCTGCTCAAAATAGGTCTGGCTGCTGCCCTTTGCTCCCCATAAGCCACAATGGAATAATCAAACCCTTAGTTGGGTTGTGACTGGCTTTTATGTGCTTCTGAATTTTTTTTAAAATGGCATTTGATATTAAGATTACAATTAGATACACAAAATTCCTTTTATTTTCAAAATATGACATAATGCTTATTCATATCTATAGAATATTTATTGTACTCTGTATCCCTAGTTTCACACTGGAAAAGATGGTCTGTCTTGGATTTATCGGAGAGCATGATGAAAATGGGGAGCCAGCTACACAAAAAAACATCAATGAGTGGGTTATGAACAAAAATGCCAAGTACGAAATTGACATTGCTGGCGTCAGATTTCCTGCTAAGCCTGGGATCTACACCCCCAAGATCACTGTCCAAGCCCAAGACCCACTTTTTGTCCCCGCCCCTGACAGGTCGTCAAAGTTTAGTTAGGTGACTTAAATCAAACTATTCTCACTGTGTTTGTCCCAGGCAGAGTATTGTGATTTTTGTTAGACTAGCTGAATTAGTTTGGTTGCCACTTTTTGATGCACTGAATTTCTATATTGACCAGGCTTAGAAGATTTTTAATGGTATTGTCCAAGTGAGTTTTGGTTGGCAGTTACGGATAATATCATTTATATAATCATGTGATAAGTTCATGTACCAAACTAGTATTTTACACAGTTTAGTTGATTAGCCATTCCAGCCTTAACATTTTAATGATACTCCGGTGCTAAGTCAATCATTATGTACTTTGGTTTAAACATTTAGTGAATTTTTTTCTGTTTGTTTTTTTATTTATTATTTTATTTTGGTGATAAGCACAAATAAAATGTATTCATCTTACCAAAGTGTAAACCTGTAAAAATCTAAAATGTTAAATTTGTGCTTTTGTGCATGAAAAATATATCCTTATCTATCTTTATGTTGTCTAAAATAGCATGTCTAAAATTACATTGTAAAGCTTCCACTGTACATATTTGACCTAAATAGGTTTAACCATAATCATAAATTTATGACTGCATCATGGCAGTCAAAGAATATCAAGCCAGTTTTCCTATTCTTGTTTGTTTTCTTTGTTGTTTGTTTGTTTGTTTGTTTTGTTTTGCCCTGAGGAGAAAAGTAGCCAATGCTTTGCAGTCATTTAGAAAATACAACTCTTCTGAATTTTTCTGGTTTTTTTTTACTTTAAAACAAGTATTTGCTTTTGAACTAATGTTTTCAGAATTTTTACTTTTCTTGAAAAATGCTTTAAAAGATTGAATTTGTAGTAGTAATTCACTGTATGAAAATGTATGTAGCTGTATAAAGACATTATGTAAAATACTCTTGGCAATTACTATAAAACTTGGCTGTATAGTTAATTTATTTGTAGATAGCTTTGTTTGCCTGCTTTGTTACTATGTTCTTTGGCTACAGTTTTAAAGTGGTCATCTTTAGGTTCACTGCAGTCAAACTTTTTAAAATGAAATAAACATGAAGGCCTACATTTTTAAGATAGTGATAGGAAATCACAGTCAAACTTTCTTTGACACACCTCCCTAATGACATCCTGAACACTTAGATGAACAGAGCCAACTTTGCTGTCATACTACAACCCTTGTTTTTGATGATATTGTATTATTGTGTGTCTTTCTTGTTGTATGACAACAATTTTGTTCAAGTGTTTTATTTCTACCATTGCGTTTATATTGTTCCTTAGCATTTTTTGGTCCTAGATTTTTTTTTGGTTTTGCTAACCAAAAAATATTAAATTATTCTAAAAATACTTTTTCTTTTATTTACTTTTTTTCCAATTCTTTTTAATTTTTAGTAAAAAAAAAACATTTTTTGGGCAGTGTTATTCTAGAACTTTTTGATTATTCACTAAACGTGTGTAAATAGTTCAGCTAAATGTCAAAATAAATATTCCATGATCTTGACAACATCACGCTTTTTGTAGATATATAACCCCAGTCATCACATAACCCATGCCATTCACAATCCTTGCCCCAATAATGATCCACTTGGTTTTCACCAGTTTCCCTTTTCTACGATTATAATCTAGCTAGATTGATTTTGAGGAAAATATTGAAGATTTTCCTTTGTACGGCAATTTACTAAATAATATAGATATTGTTAAACGGTTAGCTCGCTACTTTGTTTAAAGGGGTCATTTTAAATTGTAAACTTCCTTAAATTTGCCAACCATCGTCCTTATTTTAAATCAGTAAGGGGATATAACCAAGCTGATATGTTTTTGCTTACCATATTAATTGAATAGTTTCCCTTCGTATGGAAAATATTTATATTTATTTTATTTTGGGTGGCGTTCGGATCAATATTAGATTCTTAGGCTAATATGAAAACAATGTACACTTTGTTCTTGTCGTGCGGTCATTAATGAACGAAGACACACTTCTAGCGGAAGGGGATTGGGATGGGGACCGTAAAAAAAAGTGTGCCGTCACACTTTTATTTTTTTTAATGTGTTCTTTTTAACGGAATTTTAAAATCGAGCAATTTGTTTTTTTTTTCTATTAAAATTACTCCGGAAATTGTTATGAAAATTAACCGCTCAATCTAATATTGATCCAGATAGGTCGCCTGTAATAAAGTGCCACTGTCCATATGTCATACAGCTACATAACATTTGCAATTTGCATTTCTTTGAACCACCGTCTATTTTCAGGCATCTCGTCTTATGCAATCTTAGCTTCAGAGAAAAACTGCCTCCATTCTTCAATTTTCCAACACATTAGACCTTTTTAAGACTACAAATAGGTTATGTGATATTTTATGTAGGTTATATCGTGATAGAAATAGATCGATATCCTTGGCTAAATTCAGTGAATTATTTAGAAAGAAATTGTAAAACACAAAAAAAAAAAATCATTTCGATGTGGTAAAGGGAGGCTGAAGTGTGATGTCGGTAAGTTGGGGGCCGAACGCATTGAGACGATTATAATTTGCGACATGTTAGGCTTATAATATATAGAATTTGTGCAAAATTAAGTCCCTAATATACTTCATAAGCTCCATGTAGCTTTAATATGGAATAACCCAATTCTTTTGGGGGGGAGAGGGGGGGGGGTCATGCCACTTGTGGACATTTCTTATATAGCAGTGTGACATTAAAACGGAATATAGCTTAATGAGAAAAAAAAACCTGCTTTAAAATTATTTTAATTATTTGAATTTTATACGTCATTAAGTAAAGGGTGACACTATTTGCCTAAATGTAGTAGGCCCTAAAGTTGGTGGGGGGGGGGGGGGCTGACATCGTAACATACTAGCTAAATGGGTGATCATTTCGAAAAACCTGATTTATCGATTTGATTTGCTATGGCGTGTCGTGTGGCCTGCATGACAGATCACGTCGTCGCTCCGCCTATTTAGATTTCAGAGGTCCAAACGTTTCAAACGTTTTTCTATTATATGCTAGATATTCAATCGTTACAGAAATTGTCTTCCGGGTTAATACTAAATAAATTCTTTATTGTAATTTAGGAGAGAAAAAATGTCAGTGGATGCATATTTATCTGCTGATTGGTTAAATATTTAACATTTTAATTTATGAAAGTATGTGGGTGTGTATGTTATTAATGTAGGCAGTGTTTCTTCCAGACTTTTTTTCTTCGGGGGTGGGGGGGAGGCGGACACTATTAAAAGTATATATTTTCTATATAAACTCAATTTCGTTCGAGGGGGGGGGGGGGGCGATAGACTCTCTTAGGGGGAGGGGGGATAAGCCCCCCCCCCCCCCCCCCCCTCCGAAGAGATGCCTGGAAGAAACACTGTAGGCTATTCTATTAGTACACCTTTTATTCGATCGCCAAGAAACTTTGGAGAATTTCAGACATAAAGACAATGCTATGATAACAGAGGCTTAGCGACCCTTCCCGGCGCCCGGGGACAAACTTCCGATTTGCACCCCCCCCCTCATACTTTCGATTTGCACCCCCCCCCCTCAAACTTTTGATTTGCACCCCCCCCTGATACTTTCGATTTGCACTCCCCCCCCCCCCTGATACCTTTGATTTGCACCCCCCCCCCTGATACTTTCGATTTGCACCCCCCCCTCAAACTTTTGATTTGCACCCCCCCTGAAACTTTCGATTACTTTTTCCAACCCATTTTGGCGCCCCCTAAGGTCGGCGCCCGGGGACATATGTCCCCCCCTGCCCCCCATCGCTACGCCTCTGTATGATAAGGGTCGTCCGGTCGTCCATCAGTGACGTCACAAAGAGGGAGCCTAGGTTCGTAATTTTGTGATGAAAGTGTGATTAGGCGGGGGAGGGGGGAGGTTCAGATAGTCTGATATCACACTTTTGCATTTAATAAAAAGTAGGGCTAGAAACTGAATTTTCAGCAGTTTTTTACGCGTTTTAGAAAATTGTTTTTGCTAATTGTATTATATATTTATTAATCTAGACCTACTCTATGCTGACCTCGAGCTCAGTCATTCTTTAAAGAAAGAACTCGATGTATAAAAAATGCAAATTTGAGGGTGGTGGGTTGTGGGCTGGGGTGTGACGTCATTCAAGGGGGATCTGACGTTTTATGGCGGCGGGGAAAGGAGAGATAAAAATCACTGAAAAGACTTTTAATCATTACTGGATGACACCATAAATGAGTCTCATTGTGCGTCGATATATTCATTATATTTGTGTCAAAATATGTAGCATATTACTTAAGTAGTTTATATCATTAATAATCAAAGCCGAACAGAGATTGTTGAGATTTTTCAGAAGGGGCTGGGTGGCTAAATGGAGGGAAAAAATAAATTAGATCTAGATCCAAGATCCATTGGTAATTTTTAAATAAATATATTTCTAGTTAAATGCCGATTTACTGAATTAGGCCAATATTAAATAGAAAGGAATAAGTTTTTTTTAATGTGATATTTTTGTTTAGTTTACTTTAGATTCCAGTCACAAAAAAGTAGGCCTTCGCTTTTTTAAAGAAATGCGGATTTTCCTATAAATCGGATCAAGGTGGCGCTTGTCAAAACTGACGTCATTTGTCGTCCTCGTGCAAGATGGCTGACAACAAATTATATGATCTCCTTGGCGTGAGCCGAAATGCTACTGATACTGATTTAAAAAAGGTACACTACTTTTTAAAATATAAAAAACTTTAAAGACGTTATTTTAATGTTATTTCGTTTTTCTAAATTATTATCTAGGTATAGAATAAGCTTAGATCCTTAAAACTTTTGGCCGTCGCTATTCTAGACTACGGCCACATTTTGTATTTTGTTCTGTTCAGCTCAGTCTAAAAAAAGTACTTCGTCATTGTTCGTTTTTTTTAATACTTATGTAATTTAGCCAGCTATATTAGATACAGACTAGATCTAGTGATCTAGATCATTAGGGAACATTAGAAATTTATAGAAATAGGCCCAATAATCTTTGTCTTATTGCCCGTTGCTCACATAGATCTAATTTAGGTACTAGGATAAATTTTTAAAATTGTTTTTTTAGGGAAACAACTACTACAGTTAAAAGGAGCAGAAAATTACAATAACAGAACAGTTTTCCTTTTTGATGTAGCTCAAACGGTTAAATAGTTATGATTTTTTTTCGTATTTAAAAATGTGATTTTTTTAACATAGGATTTTTTCAATTTCTGTGATAGAGTTTTTTTAAGCGTTTACTAAAATTGTCCTAGCTTGTAAACCATATGGTCAAATTTGTTATAACTTTGCAATATCTTTATTTATTATATATGGAAGCATAATAAACAATAAAATTAGAAATTTATGGGCAGAGTAAAACAAAAACAGAAGTAGAACAGGGTACCCCCCCCTAATTTTTCATATACAGTGCATTCATACAATCTCAGTTAAAATTTTAACTATTCAGAAAATTAAGCTCAAACTTGCTGAGAATGATGAGCTATGGATGTGTCAGTTATTACAATCAAATTAATATTCATAACTGAAAAGATTTTTGTTTTAACTGCTACAAAGCTGATAAATTATACAATTTCGCAAAACCGAAGTCTTGTTGATGTGACATGCAACATAATGGCAAATTTGAGTTATTAAGCACTTAAGTCTCAAAATTTGTCTAGCTCAAGATAACTCTATTCTTAAACAGAAGTAATCAAAATATGTGTTTAAATCTATCTGTTTAACAAAAAATAAGGGGTGGAACAGGGTACACCCCCTATTTTTAAATACTAAATTTGTTCATACAATATCAGCTTATGTTTAAACTATTTGAATCTAAAGCTAAAAACTAAACAGAGTGAAGCTCTGAAATAAGTGTGTTTGATGGTTCTATCTAAATAGTTGACAAATAGGTAAAATATGGTAAAAAGGTAAAACGCTGAGTCATCGACGCACCTGACATCATTGAAAAACTGAACTAATATATGTAAAAAAAATGATGGCAAATTAGATCTATTAGAAATGTAAGGTCTTTTATTTGTATAAATGTAATTAACTTGTAAGTCTACTTATAAATATAGTTTAATTAAAAAAGATGTGTTCTGTCTATTCATTAGTATTTTACATTTCAGAAGAAGTTCAACATTGGGCTGGTTGGTTTTAAAAAGATATAGAACTAGTTCATATCACTAAACTTTCAATGTACTGCTTCAAAATTTATTTAAGTTATTTAAAAAAATATTACTTAATTTATCTAAATAAAAGATGAGCACATTTATTGTAATACTTTTAATTCCTCTTTACAGTGTTCCCTCATTAGGCCATATAACTGCTCATCATATCGTAGAGATGTGCTGGTTTTTTTAAGTGTAGGTTCTATCTGGAAAAGTAAACAGTACATTATTTGCTTTCACATCAAAATAAATAAAATGGTTTTTCGGAAGACACTAAATATTGAATGTTTATTGCTAATACCGCACCAGACCTCCCCCTCCCTCTACTCCACTACCTTCAATATCAAAACAGCGTTTGCCACTATCGCCGGCGGCAAAACATCGTTCGCCACTATTTCCGGCGGCAAAACATCGTTCGCCACTATCGCCGGCGGCAAAACATCGCTCGCCACTATCGCCGGCGGCAAAACATCGTTCGCCACTATTTCCGGCGGCAAAACATCGTTCGCCACTATCGCCGGCGGCAAAACATCGTTCGCCACTATCGCCGGCGTCAAAACATGGTTCGCCACTATCGCCGGCGTCAAAACATGGTTCGCCACTATCGCCGGCGGCAAAACATGGTTCGCCACTATCGCCGGCGTCAAAACATCGTTCGCCACTATCGCCGGCGTCAAAACATGGTTCGCCACTATCGCCGGCGTCAAAACATGGTTCGCCACTATCGCCGGCGTCAAAACATGGTTCGCCACTATCGCCGGCGTCAAAACATGGTTCGCCACTATCGCCGGCGGCAAAACATGGTTCGCCACTATCGCCGGCGGCAAAACATCGTTCGCCACTATCGCCTGCGTCAAAACATCGCTCGCCGCTATTTTTTTCTATTACCTCCCTTGCCACTTTCGCTTTCGTATTGTAAACAAACGTATTTTCTATAGAGGTAACAAAACTGCGCAGCATATAACTTTTGTGCGCTATGTCCAAACAACTTGATTTTTTGAAACAATAGAGAAAAGTGGTGTAGAATTCAAATAATGCAATAAATTTTCCCCTTTTTATAAAAATAAACAGTAGGGAGTAAATTAAACTTACCTTATTTTCACTGAAATACTCCATCTTGAATAATCCATGAACAAAATTAAAAAAACAACAAAAACGCAAAATGTCCATTTTTTTACGAAAAATCGATAATCGCACGAAAATTGATCGGGCGATAACACCGAGCGATAAAAATTACGAAACTATAGCACTCGCGTCGCCGCAAATTCTCGGCGTCTGGGTAACGGGGACGAAAAACTCGCCGCGCGGGTTAAAACGAGATGTAATCCTAGTACCTATCTAATTATATAGTTAGTCTCATAAAAATTCAATTTTCTTCAAATTATAAAAAGAATAGCATATAATTGTAGAGCTTTAAAAATGCAATCCAACAGTACCAATTTTATTAATTTAGCATAATTGGTTGATTAAATATAATTTTTTTAGTGTCGCAAATAAAATATATAGAAACGCGACCAAAAACGCAGGTAAAAAGTCAAATTCACTTGTTTTAAAGCTAGTAAGCAAGAAAAGACATGATTCTTTCTTACTATTGAAATCAGTTTGCTTATACCTACATTTTGTTACACCAAGGTGAAAGTAAATAGTTTATATAAATTTATAAAATGCCATTTATATAATTTATTGTATGTTTTGTGATGAATTTTCAATTGGAAAATACCGCATTTGGAAGCAGAAAGGTAAATTCTACAGAACAGATGTTGTTTGGAATGTTATAGATTATAGATCTAGGCCTATATCAAAATGTTTGTTTAATAAAATTCAATTAGAGTCCACCCATTTCTGATGGGTACCTGATATACATTGGGGAAATTAAAGGTAAAAAGTAAAGGTGGCTGTGAATATCGCTGACCACACGGACAATCACTTCATATGCCGAGGTCAAGAAACATGAACTCTACTTCATCTGCCAAATAGATTGCTTTGTCTACAGAGGAATCTTAATTAATGTTTACAGGGGCCTAATAGAATTGAGTTATGTTTGTAAAAACAGTAGGCCTAAGCTTTAAAAACTTATTTTGGTCAATATCGGAAAAAATAAAAATCTTTTCGACTAAATGGGTTGAAAAAAGCTTTGAATTTGTTTCATTGTTTGTTATTATATCTTGTAGTATTTAGAATTGAAGCTTTCTTTCTTAATTACAAGCTGTATTAATTTCAAACCTTAATGTAATTTCTTTTTAATTCAGTATTAGCCTAAATGTAAGGTAGGCTACAGAATTCAGATATTACCTATGGTTTTGTGATTTTTATATGTTTATAACATTTGTGTTTATGAAATGACCTAATGAAGTTATCAAGCAAACTGTTTTATTATTATTTTAATAGGCCTGCAAGTTATAAGTACAAAATATATATATCTAATCACTAGATCTAGGTCTAAGTTTAAGAAAAAACTACCAAAAGGGTTTGAAATACTTAAATATAGTACTAAAAGTAGCTATGTTTTGAAAAAAAAATATCTTAAATTGGAGACATTCAATTTAAAAGTCATCATAAAAACTCCACGATCTAGATTTATTTCTAGATCTCTAGTAGGAATACAGATTTAGAGGCTTTCCCATCAGTATCAATGTAGATCTACTATCTTAGCTATGTGGGAGGTCAGTACGAGTTCACTGGGAAAAAAATCGGATCTGCCGTAGGGGGGTGGGTTTAGTGCGCAAATGCTCCTGACCGATTGCCAAAAGGTACAGAAATTCTAAAGATACATTTTAAAAGAAAAATGGACGGCTGAACTGCAGTTATCAAAATATCTGTGTAAGTAGAAGTATAAATAATAAAATTTTACACAAATATAGCTGTCTTTTGCTAAATCTAGCTCAATTTCCACGAAAATCGCATCCGGTCGCAATAATTTTTATATCAGCTTGTCGGCCATTCAACGATCTATCACGTGTAGCAGACGCCAAACAGATTTATCCGTATGGTATTGCGCGAATGCTATTTTTAGCAACAGTGCCGAGACGCGATCGAAAAAAACGAACTAGAAACAGGGATGTGACTTTTCCGAATTTTAGCGGAAATCCGATTTTTCCGTTTCAGTTGCGATTTAATTTTCGCCGAATTTTTCCGCCGAGTTCCAATTTTTGTCGATTTTTTACGAAGTTTTAAACATTCGGAAAAAAAACGGAAATGTCTTCTACGGAAAGAGCCGACTTGCTCATTCCACGTATTCGTATTTAAATCGACAATTACTGTACTTAGGTCAAACGGACACTCGAATATGCGCATTTCTTTTCGATTGGTCGATTGCGCTAGGTCTGACGGTGCTAGATCACGATTAAATGTAGATTAAGAATAAGATTCGGAATTTCGGCGGAATTTTCAAAGCACACTTTTTTAGTCCAAATTTTCCGCTGATATTTTCAGTTAACTATTTATCAACTACACGGGAAAAGGTAATCTAAAATAATGCAGTTATTCAAATGAAACTTACATCTCTTAAGCCTGCTAATCTAGCTATCGATATAGCCTAATTTACTTATCGGTATTTTAACCCGCCTAAATCTAGAGTTTCTCTCTGATTTTATTTTATTTCGCAATCTCAAATGAATATTGAAATCCTTGCAAAAGGTGACTATGAGGACTAGACTACCCGCCTCACCTCGTAGCAACGGTGGCTCTTGTGACCTCACCTTGACCCCAAGCACGTGTTCGGTACTGCTGGTGGAAATAGCTGTTTCTGCAATTCGTATGCTTCGTAGGCCTACAGATTAAAACAAAATACTAAACTCAACGTGACTACGACCGTGTCTTGTTTGTGGAAGAAAAAATACGTTCAGACTGTTTTTAAATTTTTAATAAGGGGTCTTCCATTAATAACGTCACACTGGTAAGATAGTGTAACGTCATATTCTTGTATTTTAAAAAAAAAGTAATGTTAGAAACAACTGCATTTTAGCCGCTATTAGAAAACTGTTGTAAAATATTGTAATAGAAATTGAATAAAATACCCTATGTTGTTTGACCTCAGTCAATATTTTAGAAAAAATCGATGTTTTAAAAAAAAATTCAAATTAATTTCGAGGAGGGGGGAGCATTTGTTGGCTGAGGTGTGACGTCATTATGGGGTTGGGGGGGGGGGGAGTCTGGCTTTTGTAGGAGAGAGGGGAGCTAAATATCATAAAAAAACCGTGGATGACCCCTAACAATTTACAGCTATTCCAAAATACATTAATATCGATGTGGCTTGGCTATCATAATGATTAACTTTGGTTCACACGTCAGACCCTTTCTAATTTTAGCTAACCTGGTCCATTGCATTTTTGCATCATATGAACCTAAAACTCAACTTGTAACTAATCTTAATCTAGGATCTTTACAGTTGAAGACACATATTTTTACCAATCCAATCTTTAGAAGAATATAAGGCATTAGGTCCCCTATTTAAAAATTGAAAACAGGAGTACATCTAGAATCTACACTAGATTAGTACAGTTTAAATTAGCTTAATGGTAAAATAAAACTTAATTGCTACTTTAGTTACATTGTAATTTTTAAAAAGTTGTTTATAATGTAAACATTAAATTGCAATTAGACAAGACTTTCAATGTTTTTTTAGAGTAACATAAACTTCTTGTATTTAAAATATTAACTTCATTAAACAATTAATTAGTACAGTAACAGTATGAAGCTGCTTAACTGCGATAAAAAGTAGATAAACATATTGAGATATTATCCGAAGAAAATTTCCTAATTTTTTTTCCTGGTCTGGTCACATCCCTGTAGAAAGTGGCCATAAAAAAGCGGGTCAGGGGAGGTAATTCAACTCGCGTTATGAGACTAGCTAAATTATAAAAAAAAGGTACGATGATTGAAGCATAATGTATTATAATGAAGATACTTTCATTTTCAAGATAGATCTATCATCTACCCATGTCCGAAAATAGACTCCTCCAAATTTAGGTGTGTTACGTTGTTAGTATAGTAGAGTATCATGGTTAGAAATTAGGGTTGGGATAAGGGTTAGCATTCACATTTCATTAGCAAGCCAATTGTGTATTTTTAGTTAGCTACCAGTAACTGAACAATGTACTCCTCCTTTTTTAAGAAGATTCTTTTATTGGACACTGGTATAAAAATTCACCCAGCTGCCGTTGAATGAAAATCAAACTGAAAATTAGAATCTAGATCTAGGTGTATTTCTGATGGGCCGGTTTTTACAGCATTCAAAAATTGTTTTCTATTGTTTGTCGACTTTGAATACCAAGTTTAAAGCAGCCCTAATCAAAATGTAGCCAGTCATATTTAAATGTTCTAATTTATTAAATAAATAAATAAAAATCACTTTACCCTAAATGGGGTTGTTGTGGCTTAATGTCACATGGCGTTGCCAACCCCTTTCCATGCCCTATCACCCGTTGGATGCCTCTATCTGAGTGGTTACATCTCTCTGGCTACTTAATGCTGTTTGTAGTAGTAGTGGGCCTAAACTAATGTGACCTCACAATGACCCCAAGTAGTTATTGCTTAATTTGGGGAAAAATGTGTCCTTAGGCCTGCATACAATTTTTTGTTAATATCCTTCATTCTCTTTATTAACTCACATTGACCCCAAATACTTTTTCATATTACTTGGTCTAGGGAAAAACTAAAGTGAGATCATTAATTCAGATAGTAATGCTTAAGCTGTGACCTAGGCCAATGCTCTAAGTATTAATATAACACCAAATGATGTCTAATTTTGAAGATCAAATATAGAAATTGCAATTTTTATTTAAAAATCAGCTTACTGCTTTTAATCAACCTTATACAACATATTTCTTATACTTGAATTGTAGACTAAATAATTTGTCTGCTTATTATAGGCTTTAATATTTCTTAAATAGTGAGGTTTAACCTAAATAGTTGGAGCATTGACAACTAGGCAGGAGCCATCATATTTTCTTTTAATTGATTTTCTTACCAGTGAATTCATAGGGTTAAATTTATACATTTTTAAATTATCATAGGATTGGTGCTGACTTTATCAATCTGCTTGGATACTTAGCAGTGTCCACACATAGCATGTTTGTTTCAGCTATCTGTCTGCATTTTAGACTCCAAAAAATTTAATCTGAAAAAACCTTAAGCAGCAGTGCTTAAAAATCTTCAGTCAAATACATTATACAGCAGGATCCATCAGTTTTATTTAGATGCTGTATAGAGGTGTGTGTATATAATATATATATGTATATAATTTATTATTTTTTTCAGGCTTATAGAAAACTTGCAAAGGAGTTCCACCCTGATAAAAATCCTGAGGCTGGGGAAAAGGTACCTGATTTGATAATCAAAATAATTTTCTACTACCTTACCTTATACACTTGGAAACATACTTATAATTACATATTTGCTTATGTGAATATTATAAAAAAGTTATTTTCAATTCTTACAGTTTAAGGAAATAAGCTTTGCTTATGAAGTCCTGTCAAATCCCGAAAAACGTGAAATATATGATAGACATGGCCTTGATGGTATCAAAGAAGGTGGAGCAGGTCCAGGTAATTATTTCTATAGTCAAAACATTTAATTTAGCTAGTTTAATTTTAGTATGGCAAAGATACTATTTTAAACTACAATTTTTTTCTTCTCTTGTTCATCTTTTGTTTGTCCTCAGGTGGTGGCTTTGGGGGAGCTAGCATGTTTGAAGATCTTTTCGGTGGATTCTTTGGATTCCCAGGATCTGGCATGGGCGGTGGAGGAAGAGGAAAAAGAAGAGGAGAAGACACACTTCACCCTTTGAGGTTTGGGCTAGTTAGCATTACACAAACTTAAACTCATTTGCGACAAGACGTGACAGCCATTCCTTCCTTTTACCTATTGTGTGTTTCAGTCGCATTATTTTCATGCAAAAATGCTTCTACGCTATTTAAGCTTTTTAAATATAGTCCAAGAATGCGCCAAAAGTTTACTAAGTTGAGTTTCATACAAATTTTTACTCTTGTTTTTGTGTAAACGGTCACTTCAACATTATCATAGCTTTCAAGTTGTTTTAAAGAGTCAGACTGTTAAAATATTCTAAATTACCGTAGATATTTTTTTGGAAAATTAAAATTTTTGTAAATATTTGAAATGGTACTGAGTCATGCTGTGGGTGGACTCTGATCTCATAGTTGCATCACTAAATTCTTTGTAATCAATAAACACTTCTTAGAAAAACATAAATTTATACATTTTCTCTTAGATAATACATTTCTTTATTTCATAGGTATATTTTAATAATAAAACAATTTCAAAGAAAAATTGTTGCATGTTTACTTCACTTAGTTTAGGGCTGGGGAGAGGTTTTGAGATAAACAAGTAAATAGATTGCAAATAAGTAAAGAGAGAAAAATTATTTTATTTCCATTTTTTTTTTTTAAAATCCTATGTATTGAACCAGCTCTTTGTATATTTTAATTTTAAACATATATTTCAGAGTATCTTTAGAAGATTTGTACAATGGAAAGACAACAAAATTACAGCTTAGCAAAACAGTAATATGTAAAAAGTGTAATGGGTAAGTACTTTTTACCATTTAAATATTTTAAAAATATAACCGTGTAATTTTTTAAAAATAAGATTTATTTTGCTTTTTTTTTAGTATGGGTGGTAAAAGTGGAGCCAGCATGCGTTGTAAAAAATGTAATGGTCGTGGTGTGCAAGTGCAGCTGAGACAGCTAGGACCAGGAATGGTGCAACAGTTGCAGAGTATATGCTCAGACTGCCATGGAGAGGGTAAGTTATTTTATTTGTTGTTGGCTGTATGAGTAGTTTACTTACAAGATACTTATGGTAACCCCATTGTTGCAACTTATTGTATTGGTGGTGTATTTTAAGAGCTCTTTTTTAATGTCATCATGCATTTTGTTTAGGTGAAGTTATCAAAGAAAAAGATAGGTGTGGGGAATGTAAAGGCAAAAAAGTTTGTAACGAGACAAAAATACTTGAAGTTCACGTAGACAAAGGAATGAGGGATGGACAGAAAATCCCTTTTAGGGGTGAAGGAGATCAGCAGGTATAGTTAAACTTTTTTGGTCATTTCCATATGGGTAAATGTGGTTACATTTAACTTTTTAATTAATACATTTTATTTTTAAACTGCATTGTTCATTTCTGTCTTATTTAAATCTTTATAGCCTGGAATGGAACCTGGAGATGTGATAATTGTATTACAACAAAAAGAACATGAAGTGTTTACTAGGAAAGATGCAGACCTTGTGATGGAACATGATATATCTTTGACCGAAGCCTTGTGTGGCTGTCAGTTTATTGTCAAACATTTAGATGGTCGTGACCTTATCATTCAGAATAAACCAGGGGAAGTTATTGTTCCAGGTAATTTAAATGGCATAGAGCTACAACTGGAGTAAGCAAAATACAGAATTCTGTATTATAATGGTTCATTTATTAAAATTATTTTTACTTGTTTTCTTATTTACCAATGGTTTCGTAAATATTTTTTAATACTCTCCTTCACCTATTTTTATTTTTAAAATTTCTCCTTTAATTATGCAGGTAAATTAAAGATGGTGGAAGGTGAAGGCATGCCTAGGCACAGAAATCCCTTTGAAAAGGGAAACCTGTACATAAACTTTAACATCAAATTTCCAGAGAACAATTTTGCCTCAGAGGAACAACTAAAGGTAACTAGAGTTTGCTTGTAAATCTCAGTCAAGTCTCAGCAGCTTGGTTGTATAGTCTTGTTGAGAATGTGGTTTTTATTTGTTTTCATTGTGTTTCATCAAATATTGTTTAATTTTTAGACTTTGGAAAGTGTGCTTCCTCCTCGGCCTAGAACTGAAATACCCACCGGTGAGAATGTAGAAGAGGTTAATCTTGTTGACTTTGATGGCAGCAAGGGCTCTGGTGTCCATGGTGCAAGATTAGAAGCATACCATGATGATGACGAGGAGGATGGACATGGTGGGCACCCGCGTATGCAGTGTCAACACCAGTAGGGTTAGCTATCAATAAAAATGTACATACATTTTGAAACTTTTTTCCCAATCATGAGTAATTTTGGTGATTTACAATGTTTGTTTTTTCTAGTGAAGTAAAATTTGTCAGAATGAAAATTGTTTTTCTTAGTCAAGTGGAATGGAGGTGATGGTAGAATATTGGACACCATCGGGCTACTGCATTGCAAATCCAGTAACTTATAACAAATCTCTTTAATACTGTGTATATTTTGAGTAGGTCTAGTTATTGGAACATGTAGAAAGTGCCTGTTGAGGTGTTCTGCTGCACAACTATGGACTTGTGTGAAAAACAGATATTTTCAGTAACATTAATAAATGCACATCAAGCTTATTTTCTTGTCTATTTTTAAATACTTGTATAAACATAAATAGTATATTTTTAATTGCACATTCTTTAAAAAGAAAAGTGGCTAATTATTAATTGTAGGACCCCTGAGTCCATCCTTATGTAGCTGCGAAAACATTTTTTTTTTCATAACATTTTTTAATCTAGTGTTTAGTTCTTTGTATAGGCCAGATCTTTTACAAAAATCCCATGTAGCCTGTGCTAAGATTTTGGCACCACTGCATTGCCTCCACTCCTTATGCATGATGTAATGCTCATGTGTAAAATATTTATGGTCAGATTAATCATATATATATATATATATATAAAATGAAAGTCAGTAGATCTTAGAGAAATGTTGTCAAGTATAAAGTATGTTTAGTAGAGATGTTAATTTTCTTTACTGAAGAAAAAGACACAGTGGGACCTACATTTACTAATGTTACTTGAAGTAAACAGTTATTTTTGCCTTGAACAAAGTGGGAAATTCTGTCTGGTATGTAAATTGATTTCATCAAAATCAACTGTTTGTGATGTGTTAATGGGTTCTGTCTGTGCCCTGGAGACCAATGCTGAAGTATTTCAACATTGGTCCTCATGCTGCAAACTTTGTGTTTATATCTTCCACTGAAATGCAAAGCATGACTTAATTTCCATTCCTGTGTGTATTTGAGTAGTAGCAAATAAACTGTTTATAATTAAAGGAATCATCCATGTTGTGTTTGGTTTTTTGGTATGCAATTATTAAATTAGAACCAAAATGTTTCAAGTGTAAAGCCAGTTATCTAATCAGCAGTTGTTGTCTTGCACAGAACTAGGTATTCCAATTTCAGCTTAGATGGATGCACCTTACCTTATAACAAACACTGATATAATGTCACTAGGATCTTTATGAATGGATTTTTACTAGCTAATCTTAAATGCTGTCATGTCTCTAAAATTATTACATGATATTTTTTAGTTTCAGGGTTCACAGTCTTAAAATATATAAATAGTTTTGACTGGCGTTGAAAATTTGTTTTGGATTATTGGCTGGATGTCTTTGTTTTTAAGTCGATCTAGTTGTAGAAAATACTGCCAACATCTGACAAAGAAAACATGAAAATTTAAAATCATCTCTTGGTCCCTTGTAATATGTACATATAATGATCCACTTGATGCTTTCAATATCAATCAGAAACATTTCATACTTTTTTAAATATTGTCTTATGATTTAAATGAATTTGTATTGTATAGTTATTTCTTCTAACATGATTTGTAAATAAGGTGATTTTTTTTTTTTTTTTTTTTGAGTTCAAGCAAAAACTTTTATTAGATGATTTTTTTAAAATTATTATTTTGAGAATGTATGTATTTAGCTATTGTACCTGAATATGGACTAGTGTGGTTTAAACTGTGCTACTGGTTGGATGCCATTGTGTGATGACTGTTGAGAAAGAACTTTTTTCATGCTGTGTGTATTTATTCTGTGAATCAGATCATATGGTGCCATTCAGCAAAAAAAAACAGGTCAAGAAAATGTTGACTCCCCTAATGTCTGATAAAGAAAAATTAAAACATTCATTGTTCTCTCCAACTTCAGCCTTGCTCATACATTTTGGATATTGTAGGCTTGTTGTATTTTGTGGGGTTTTTAAAGTCATTTTTCTGGGCAGATTGTTTGCACACTTACAATTCAGGAATATTTGGTAGTTTTCACAGAAAATATGGTAAACCACAAACAGGAACATTTTTTTCTAGTCTATGAATAATTACTTATTGAAATGATAAAGAAAACCTTTTCTGCTGGCTTATGTGACATGCAACTATAGTATATTCCCTTGATATGCAACACAGCCATATGAAAAAATTAAAACCTGATCTAAAATATTGATCACCTTCAGTGTAACTAGTACTTTGGCATATCATTTGGAGAACTTTTTAGTAATATATTTGCAGACCTGCTGTTTGAATGAAAGTTGACCAGAAAAAATATGCCCTACTAGTCCAGGCTTAGCTGACCATAGCAAATTGGATATAAACTGTTGGGTGATTAAGGTTAGAAGCTGTTTGGAAAAACTAACGTAACTGATCATCACAATACTTAGATTCTAGGAATATTTGGCTCATTTCCCAGTTTGTTCAAAACATGAAATAGACTAATTGCTCACAACATAATCTTCAGGGACTTTGGGATATAGTGACCTTCATTACCTTATCCAGTGTTGGCTTTACTATTTATAATTTCCAAAAAATCAGAACTAGTAGTAATCCCTTGTCAATAAAAAAATATATCCTATTTTCTTTTAATAGCTGTCAATAGAAAATACCAATAAAACTCAAACAAACCTGAGCTGTTGTGAAATCAAAAATACAATTTATTTTTAATTCATTTGCATGTAGAAGTTCAATTGCACCTAACACATGAGACATTCACTTCCCCTTTCAGTATCACATTTATAGTTTGTCACCCCACCAAGCCAAACTCTTTATTCAATTTAAAGATCAGGTATTCATTTCATTGGTTCTTTTTGATTAGGTTCACATGCAATCAAGTCAATATTTTACCAAATTGTGTGAAACATATTTTTAATTTTTTTTGTTGAATTACCAGATGAGGTATAGGGTGGTTAAACATCTCAACTATCAACAGCCCACCCCCTCTCCCCTAAAAAAATCATTCAGGACATACATCCAACTTTGAAGTAACCCAAATACCACATTCAATTTGAAAAGAAAGAAAACAAACCATCACATCTAATCATAACATGAAATGGTTTTATAAAATGTCGGAGTTTTGTGTAGTCAATGACAAACATTTAGCAAGTGTCAGAGTACAATAAAAATCTAAAAACACTACAGAATTGATCATTGTAGTGGACCTAAGTTAGAATTAATCTTCAACCAGTGCACAAACAGATCACAAATTATTTTTAATTCAAAAGTTTACTTGAAACAAAAAAAAATAGATAAGTAAATGTTTACCTGAACATAATTTAATATACATTTTAACAGAGAAACAAATTCATTTAAATGCTTTGTGATATAGCCATTCTATTTCCAATGTATAATCATATTTCATCCCTCACCCAAAAAGAAATCTTTACAATTTAAAAAAATCAAATATTCACTAACAACTTGATTATCATGTTTTTTACTAAACAATACATCATACTTAAAGTATTTTTTAAACAAAAGTTGTATAAATGGAAAACAAAAATTGCATATAAAATGTGTAATAATATTAAGAAAACATGTAAATGATAACAATCACTATTTCTCATAGTTAACCTTTTGAGCCTGGCAGTCCAAGGGGTAGAAGAAGATGAGTTCACCTGTTTCTGTGACCACAGCATATAAAGGGATGTTGTAGTCAGAACTATCCTGGGTCCCCTTACTTGGAAGGACTCAAAGACTTTTCATGTCCCATAATTTTCTTATAGAAATGCCTTCATCTTTACAACATGATATAGTATACATTCAACTTAAGACAAACGTAAATTATAAGGCAGTTAAGTGACAGAGAAGACAAATTGTTTTCAAAATACGTTTCCTATGTTTCTATTTTGAGAAACTAGCCCCATGTTATTATACTGAGAAATCAGTGTAAGAGCCCCTAAAATAAAGTGACACTTCTCCTATTCTTAAAAAAAAAAGAAATTTTAATAACAATTAGGTTATCAAGATTAGATAAATTGAAAAAATCTTTTTACACTTTATACTGCCTTTAAAATTGCAAAATAGCTGTAGTAATTAAACAGAAAATTGGTTTTTAAAATGCAAAAACGGAATAATACTTTCTAATACCCATCCCCTCGTCACATAGTTCCAAGCCCAACCCCTCCAGGAGTGTTACACCCATCCAATTAATGGAAGGCCCTGTAGAGTAAGTGGTGTGTATTTTTTGAGATAGAATTTGTTAAATCAAATTCTTGAGTAAAAACTTTGGCAGTGCTACAATTAAATAAAGATTCAATCTTTATAACTAAAATTCTTTTAATTTTATAAATTCTAGTTGCTAAAATAAATATTAAAAACATGCCCCTTGTGTAAATTATAAATAGTGGTTTACAAAAGTTTGAAATGTTCCTGTGAGAAAATAAATTTGGCTGTAAATGTCCTAGAAAAATAACTTACTTACAAAAAGTAAAACTCCAAGAAAAAAAATGTTTAGCACATTTAACCCAAAGTTTCCTTAACTAATTACTTTAACTCATTATTTAAAGAAATTAATACCTACTGTGTCACTTCCAGTATTTCATATTAGAAAATATGCTTATATATATACATATAACTCATACACATACTTTGGGGAATTGAATAACAACAGATTCAAAAACATTAATTCTTTAGAATTATTGGTGAAACATGATTAAAAAAAAAACATCATAGTCATAAAACACTCAAAAAAACCATCTGAAATCTTGCATTACATTCACACTAATATTTTCTCAAAACCTAATGTCATCTAGTTCATGCTCTCAGATGATAATTATAACCCTTAAACCACACACAACACACTAAATACTAATACTACAGTCATGTTATTTACAATTGACATTATAAGAATCAGTTTAATCCCATAGGCACAGTCAAATTTGCAACAGAAAAGTAGAGCAGAAGTGGGTACAGCAGCAGAAGTTGGTTTAAAGCCCACTGAAAATCTTACTATGAGGAATGTAAAAATTATTGAAATAACAATATTATTCTAGAAGAGAATCAATAAATTATCAGTTTTATAAATTCAGCAGAAGCAGATGTTGAATTCTTTCCTTCAGTTTGTATTTAACATTATAGAATTTTTCCATTAATTGTTTATGTTGAAGTTATTTTTTTTCAACAAAAAAAAAGAAATAAAAAATCAAATACAAATGAATTATTATATACCCTTCATAATCAATGAAATTCAAAAGCAGCAGTAAAAAAAAAACATGGTTACTTTACCCTATACACCCATCTAACAATCAAAAACTTACCATGTTAAATAAGGCACAAACATTTACATAAATTCTGAAGACTAGCTTTTTTTATTTTGGTCATTGAATAAATAGAAATTTTATTAAAATTTTAAAGAATCATAGAACTTTTTCTTTAGGGTCAATGAATCCTAACTATTCATTGGGGGTAAAATCATTGGGGGTAAAATCATTGGGGGTAAAATGAAAATAACAGATCAAAATGCTTCTCAGTTTTAACTGTCAGCTTGTTATTCTTAAAATATTTAAATTAAGAATTTCAACAATTTAACCACACAATAGTTTTAAATTTCTGAACCATACAATATGTTTTTATTTTTAAGAGTTGCTGAATAAATGTAGAAAAAACAGGCCTTAAAAATTGTGACTCCTATATTCTTGCCTATTTTTAATGTAAAAACAGATACAATAAGAGCAAACTTTAGACAAAAAAATACAAAACAAAATTTACTATTCATTGTGACTACAAAAAAATTATGTTATTAATTTTAGTGCTATCTTATAGACTAGGTTGTAGAAGACTTAGTGGTTGCAGTAATTCATGAACCCCTACTTTGGAGGAGGATACTTGGCAATCAATTTAGTGTATTCTACTGTTTCCTCTTGCAGAATTTTTTTCTGTAGCTCCTGTTCCTCCTGCTTTTTTTCTGAGCTGGCAAAACTCAGCTCTGGAGGGTTGGCGCCATTGTTTTTGGCAATATCATTCCGCAAGTTAATGTTCACTGTGTGTATTTCATGGCACTTGGCAAACTTTTTGCCTTTGTTGACTTCACTGTCAAAGGCACTCCAGACATAATTTCTGTGCGTTAAATAAATGCGGAATCCTTTATCGTAAACTTTTCTTAGGAGCCGCAAAAACTGAAAAAGTAAAAGATCCTATTATGATATAAATTAATTTTTTTTTTAAATCAGTCATCTAAAATAATATAATAATAATCACTAATAATGCCATCTTTTTAAAATAAATTCAGTCATGTTTCAACATACAAATAGATTAAGTGAAAACTATTCTTAGGGGCAGCAAAACTGAAAAAGTAGAAGATCTTATTACGAATTAAATTATAAATAAAAAAAAATCTCTCAAAAATAAAATACAAAAATTATTAATTTAAACCAAATAACCCACTAAAAGTAAATATAATAATTAGCCTAATCAATAATACTGTTTTAAAATAAAGACAATCAAAGTGAAAACTGGACACACCTGTATGTATTCTGTTTTGCTGGGATCCAGTGCTGCAAAAGTCACATGTGTTTCAAAGGCAAGTTGTCTTACATCTGATAAGCTACCGTCATCCAGGGCTACCAGTAGAGCTTCTAGTTCAAACCCTTCAACATCCATCTTTACAATGTCTAAGCGCCTCTTCAAAAATCAATATGTAACCACTTTACTTATTGTTAAAGAAACATGCATAGGTAATTCACATTTTCTTTGATAATCTTTGGCAACAGAAATAGAATTTTAAAAAATATATATTAAATATAAAAAAAATATATAGGAATTCTACTCATTTTTTTTGTTTACATGAATAGTTTATAGCTATTCTTGCTTCTCAATGTTTTTTATCATGCTCAATTTGCTATATCAATGTTCTAATTCAATGTATTTAAAAATATGTGGCTGATATATTAACATCACTATGTTTTTTTGCAAGTGTGATATATAGCATCTTTTTTGTATGGCTATTTTGATTTTCCCACGTTTTCTTTAACTTGCTTTCGCGTCTGTTTTTCCAATCAAATCTTGCGATCGAAATTTCGGAACAACTGGTGGCCAGTATGGGGGAGACGATATGGTCGAGTGGTTGGGCACACGATTGCTAACCCACTCGACACGGGTTCAAGGCACGTGTTTTTTACGATTTGTCTTCGTTTACCCAAAAAAAAAAGTGAATGCGAAAAGATAAAATCGATAGCAAGATTTTAATGCAAACAAACAGACAAAGACTAAAAAGTAGAAAATAATTATCATTAAAAAAGTTTTAAAAAACCCACGTCACAATAATGCAAGCGATCACTCTACTATAAACGATGAAAAACTTGGGGCGCCGTGATTTTCTTACAGTTTCTAATACTGTTGACTCTCTACAAGCTCCCTAATAAAAGTCAATAGTATTATCTAATCAATAGTAATATACCTTTTACTTTGGCGCCCCACGTTTTTCATCGCTTATAGTAGAGTGATCGCTTGCATTATTGTGATGTATAACATTTATTTTCTACTTTTTAGTTCAATCAGAAAACGTGGGTTTTTTAAAACTTTTTTAATGATAATTATTATATAGTAAATATGATGGCCTTCTAAATTTACAAATTTACTTACCCGTTGGTGTGTGTGATGGTAAATTTTTCTATGCTCTGCTATTGTGTATAGTTGCCAGGCACCGGAGGCAGGGTTGTATGTAGTTTTGTTGCTGGCCCCTACGCCAGAAGGGTGGAAATACAAGTTGCCAGAGTAAATGTTTGGCCCAGTCTTCATGCTGATGGGTGAGAAAGTTTTCAAATTTACAAAAAAAATAGCAGTTAAAAAAGAAAAATTACAACAACGCCAGGTAAGGAACAGGTTTTTGTTTATCATTGTACACAAATAAAAACATTCTAGCTCTTTATTTATTATAATGTCATTACTTTGTCAGTGTTGTTTTATAAATCAATAAATGAGTAGCAGGGAGTCAACAGAGGTTTCTTCTAATAATCCATGCCTCTCTCAGATTAAAGTTAAGTTGCTAGGGGCAGCATTCAACATAACCTATTTTTTCTAGTCATAGAAACTATCTGGTCTTCAGCCCCCAATGTTAAACACTTCCAGTGGTTTCTAAAGCTTTTATAACAACTTCAGAACTGAAACCCAGAAACATTCTCCCCTACTTTTGTCACATCCTGCGTTATTTCTACATTTTGATTTTCATACTAGCTCATTTTTAATATAAAATGTAATAAATAATATGAAACTAGTTAAAGCTATGCAGGTTAAAGGCCTTCAAAGCTCAACAGCAGTATAAATTTAACAATGCTGGCAACCAACGTATCAATTTAGTATCAAATACAAGGTTTCTAAGAGTAAAATTTTAGTTTTACCTTGGATCAAAAGCATGTACATCACAACCATACTGAACCATGTCTTGATCATATGAAAAGTCAAAATTTATTCTGAGGAAATCAAAAACATAACTTTTTAAAAAATAATATTTTCTTGATTAGCTTTTGTAAGATCTTTTTTTTTTTGGGGGGGGGGGGGGGTATTATTACTATCCTTATTTTTAAATCATTTTTGGAAAATATTTAAAAAAACAAAAAAAATTAATATAAATACACATATTATATATAAACAGCATAGGAAAATGGTTTTTGCCTTCAAAATAAAACAAAGGACTATTTCAGCAAGTTGACTGACCCGTAAGAATAAACTAGACAGTCCCCTTGGACAGGTTTGTAGAGTGGATCATCACATTGCTCCCACCCACCATCTGTGATCTTTCCCATTCGTATAACACTGTTGCATGTTGTCTGTGGGCTGTTAATGTATCTGAAATGTAGCAAACAGAATATTTTTATACCTCAGTTTTAAAAAAAATACTAGACTCCTTCAGCCTTTGTAACTTTTCAATTTAAATCAAGTATTTTGATACTATATTTATATTATTTTATTTTAACAGCAATTACTTTGGTAAAAATGTTATATAATGTTTTTCTTTAAAAAAAAAACTAAATTTAATTTAGAAATTCAAAATCAAGGGAAGTAATATAAAATCACTCCCATGTGTGATTTGTAAGGTTACCTCCCATTTAAAAACAATTTGCTTGAGAAAATACATCTCTCTTTCAAACAACGGAACATCACATCATTTGGAATATTAATGTTAAAGAACTCAATTAATTAATAATTAACAGGCACTTATTAGTAAGACAGGCCTACTCTATGATAGGTCAGAAGCGTGTAAAAAAAAGTATATATTATAGAAAATTACCTGATTTTTAAAAAGTCAGAGCATACATACCTGTGATAAAAAAGTTGAATATCCTTGTGCGACATTTGATTTAAGACTTCATCCGAGGGGATGGGGTTAACAACGGGAATGGGGGTTGTGGGTGGGGGGACAACATCAGGAGCTGGGATGCTGGCGTTTTGAACATGATGTTGGTGTATATGTGCAACCTGTGAACAAGTTTATGTATGTAACAGATTGTTTACATGGGGTATACAGTTTTTATAAGATTTACCGCAACGCTAAAATAGCATGAAAGCAGACTGATGCTTCTTAAAATTGTCATCTATAGCATAACCGTAGCATAAACATAACATTCAGGGAACATAATTTCTTATTTCCAGAACGACATTAGCATATTTAATTTAAGGTTCATCTTGAATAATGATAGGACCACATTTTAGTGTAAGAATTTTTGTGGAATTATTTTTACCAATTATTAAAAGACCAATGTTTATTAAAACAAATAATTAGAGAGGCTAAAACCAAGTGCTTTTTATGTAACTTTTTGAATACTTATTTAAATATTTAGAAAACAATTTAGGAATTCAAATTTAGGACTTCAGCCAAACCAAGAAGAGGAATCGGGACTCGACCAAGATCTTCAAAAAAGAAAAACAGAAAGAGGGCGTTAGTAGCGATGTGCAGGTCATGATAACTCAGACACAGTTATCAAAATGTAAGCAAATATTTTAAACTGTCAGCCTTTCCCAACGTGTAGGGAACAGATCATTATTTGTCCTTATCAGCCTGATGCAAACAGTTAAACCACTGTCTGAACTTCTCAACGTAAAGCAAACAAAGGATTCCGGATTTAAAAATACATTTTCTTCCTGTTTAAAAAAAAAACATCTGCCTTTCAATCATCCATATACCCAGAGGCGTAGTGAGGGGGGACGGGACATATGCCCCGGGCGCCGACCTTAGGGGGCGCCAAGATGGGTTGGAAAAATAAATTGAAAGCTTGCGGGAGGGTGCAAATCGAAAGTTTGAGGGGGGTGCAAATCGAAAGTTTGAGGGGGGGGGGTGCAAATCGAAAGCTTGAGGGGGGGGGTGCAAATCGAAAGTGTGTCCCCAGGCGCCGGGAAGGGTCGCTACGCCTCTTCATATAGCCTTCATCACACACCAAATGCCCTTTTGGGCACTGGACCGTGACACCTAGCGTACTTGGACGATCGGAAATGTGCCCGATAGAGCGTGACACGTTTACTGCAGGTTTTTATCGACAAGTGGCAAGTTCACTTCAAACGTGCATTGAAAACAGACACGTTTACGACACGTTTACAAAGACAAGTGGCAAGTTGGCTACAAGCTTTCAATTTGTCATGCTTGGTCGTGTGAAATCTTACAATCATTTGTTTTCATTACTTGCAACCGATTTGCTATCGTCTAGGATCCATACGTCTCGACATGCTGACGTATTAAAGTAATGTAAAGAATATTATTGTATATACTATATAAAGATAACTAGGGACTGATGATAGTTATATTGGTATAGCTAGTAAAGTAAATGTTGACTGTACAGAGGCGTAGCGAGGGGGGGGGGGGGCGGGCGCCGACCTTAGGGGGGCGCCAAAATGGGTTGGACAAATTGAAAGTTTGACGGGGGTGCAAATCGAAAGTTTGAGGAGGGGGTGCAAATCGAAAGTTTGAAGGGGGGGGGGTGCAAATCGAAAGTTTTTCCCCGGACGCCGGGAAGGGTCGCTACGCCTCTGTGACTGTACCAATATAGTGGTAAAGTAAATGTTGACTGTACCAGTAGAGGTGTTAAGTTAATAGTGACTGTGCCGGTACATGAATAAAGTGAATGTTGACTGTACCGGGTACAAGAGAATAGTGAATGTTGACTGTGCCGGTAGAGGAGAAACACTCATAAAAATGCTTTTTGCAAGATGCTCTTCTAAATCCAGGATACGAATTTTCTTTGCAATTAACAGCAGTCTAAAAACTAAAAAAGCAGGTAGGCTGTAGATTTATTAGAACGAGGGTGACCTAGTTAGCCTATTGTAGAGAGGAGAAACATATTCCGGGAAACCTGATAACGATACAGGAATGTTAAAAGTAAAAGTATGACGGTCCAGTGAGGGGGTGGGGGCAGACTTTTATGTAACTGTTGGTCTGTAATTATTGCCTTATACGACCTTATATAATGAACTAAACTATAAAGTGGTACAGAATATTCTTTCGTGAAGAAAATGGCAAAGGCAAACATTCTAACAAGGGAGGGTAAGCATGAAAACTTGTTTCTGTGCAAGGGGCACACAATTTTTAGCCACGTTCATATAACTAGCCATACAGCCAAGTCATAAGGCCATAGTCATACGGCCAAGCTATTCAGCCCGTCATACGGCCATAGTCATACAGCCCAAGCCACAGAAATGCAGCCTAAACCATACAACCCCGCAGTGCAACCGTGCCCACGACACACAGGAACACGACACCAAATAACACGACACACAAGAACACGACACACAAGAACACAACACACAGGAACACGACACACAGGAACACGACACACAGGAACACGACACACAAGAACACGACACACAAGAACACGACACACAAGAACACGACACAAAAACACGACACACAAGAACACGACACACAAGAGCACGACACACAGGAACACGACACACAAGAACACAACACAAGAACACGACACACAGGAACAACACAAGAACAGGACACACAGGAACACGACACACAAGAACACGACACACAGGAACACGACACACAAGAACACGACACAAAAACACGACACACAAGAACACGACACACAAGAGCACGACACACAGGAACACGACACACAAGAACACAACACAAGAACACGACACACAGGAACAACACAAGAACAGGACACACAGGAACACGACACACAAGAACACGACACACAGGAACACGACACAAAAGAACACGACACACAAGAACACGACACACAAGAACACAACACACATGAACACGACACACAAGAACACGACACACAAGAACACGACACACAAGAACACGACACACAAGAACACGACACACAAGAACACGACACACAAGAACACGACACACAAGAACACGACACACAAGAACACGACACACAAGAACACGACACACAAGAACACAACACAAGAACACGACACACAGGAACAACACAAGAACAGGACACACAGGAACACGACACACAAGAACACAACACAGGAACACGACACACAAGAACACGACCAGAATAAAAAGAAACTTCTGTGCACTACGTAGAACAGGACTCACGCTGAGTTTCCTCGAAGAAAAAAAATTATAAAGAGTGAGTGTTTCCTCGAAGATAAAAAATACCTCCGTTCCAGGAATACCTCGAAAATAAATCCTGTTGATAAGGATGTTTGCAAGTCTTAGCCGTGAGCAGTTTGCTAACGCACAACATAGGTGACTGCACTGTGTATCCATGACCTTGTGACCTCTGCTAGGCCTGGTGCTATTAGTTATTTTTGTCACGTGCTGTTCCAGATAAAATGTGGTCACTCCTTAATTAGACTGGTCAAACAGGGTCAAGGGACATTGGCGTGCTTCTGTGATCATTCGATTTTGATAGGTAGGGGGGGGGGCTAGGCTTTGGCTTCGTCACAAAGGGATGTTCAGTCATAGAAAGGCCTCTACAACATATAGGATGGCCTCGACAAGATAGAGGATGGCCTCGACAAGATAGAGTGTGGCCTCTACAACATATAGGATGGCCTCCACAACATATAGGATGGCCTCGACAACATATAGGATGGCCTCGACAACATATAGGATGGCCTCGACAAGGTAAGGCGATGGCCTCGACATGATAGAGGATGGCCTCGACAAGATAGAGGATGGCTTCGACAAGAAAAGTGGATGTTATAACAATTACTTACACAATTTCTAAACCATTCCGCTTTAACCGCTCACACGTCATGAATAAACTTTAAATCGCCAAATTAGGAGCCAGCGTGTTTTTAAATTTGTTGCAAATAATAACCTAACCCATGTACAGATTAACTACAACATCCACCAAACGACAACCCACATCCGCCTGTACAGACTACAACATCCACCAAACGACAACCGCCAGTTCCATCTTCAAAGAACCTAGAGTTGTCTCCCTTCTTGCTCTTATCTACGGGCACATCTGTGTAATGAATATGGATGAACTCGCCGCATCGCCGCGATATCCAATACCCAGTGGACAAATGACATCGGTCGAATATTGACCCAATGACACGGGTCCAAAGTCGGTCAATAACATGGGTCCAATTGTTGACCAATAACATTGGTCCCAAGTGGACCAATAACATTGGTTCAAGTGGTCAATACCACTGGTCCAATTGTTGGTCAATAACATGAGTCCAATTGTTGACCAATAACATTGGTCCCAAGTGGACCAATAACATGGGTCCAGTTGGTCAATAACACTGGTCCAATTGTTGGTCAATAACATGGGTCCAATTGTTGACCAATAACATTGGTCCCAAGTGGATCAATAACATGGGTCCAGTTGGTCAATAACACTGGTCCAATTGTTGGTCAATAACATTGGTCCCAAGTGGACCAATAACATGGGTCCAGTTGGTCAATAACACTGGTCCAAAGTTGACAATAACACTGGTCCAAAGTTGACAATAACATGGGTAGAAGTGTTGGCCAATAGCATTGGTCCAAAGTCGACCATAGCATTTGTCCAAAGTTGACCAGAAAACATGGGTCCAAAATGTAAGGTGACATTCTCAGTTTGATAATAGCACTTGAGAGAAGTATTAAAATATATAACGTTTTTATTATTCCTAGTAAATGGCATAAATAAATCAATCACAAATAAAATATAATTCTGTCTGTTTTGTAGGGCCCACTTACAATTAATCTATTTTCTTTATGTACTGTGCCAAGTGCTTACAAGTATTAAAAAAAATTTCATAGCTCGTTACTGAAATAACATTTTTTTTTCCTTGCTAGTTTCTTGAAAACATTCTTTTCTTTATTGCTTTGATGTAATTACGTGCATTTAAACTTCTAGAATCTAAGTACCCTTTCGTCCTTTCTGTCTGCAGAAATTGTTTTTGTGTCAACTTAAAAAAAAAACATTTTCCTGCGTGCTGTTTTTAAATAACATGTTCTGTACCTTTTTTTACCGTTATATTTCATTTTTTTTCTTTCTTTCTTTAGGCGCTGTTCTTAAATAATATGCTAAGCCTTAAGAAGGGGGGGGGGGGGAGAAATAAAACATGTCACACATGGATGAATTGCAAACATTATGTTCTAGCATATATATATATATATATATATATATATATATATATATATATATATATATATATATATATAGGGAAGTGTCAGAGCACAGCTGTCTTTGTGTGACCGCTTGTGACAGTAAGGAGAGGGGGTGGGGATGGCTGTCGTGAAATCTGCTGAAATTGGGAGATGTTATTCACAGACACCCCCCCCCCCCCCCATCCACCATTTGAGCCGGCACTTACCGGTATGCTGAACCTCCTGACATCGCCGTACTCCAGCAGGGCCGGGCCGCCGAAGCGAAAGATGACGAAGACGGCAATCAGGGAGAAAGGCACGAGAAAGAACAAGCACTTGGATCGCCGCATTCTCAACCCGGCTTTAGCCCTGCAACATAGACACGTCACGTTGGTTAGGTGTTTTTTTATATAGGGAGGTGTTGCTTCAACAAGTACACGACATACAACAAGTGTCTCTTCAACAAGTAGATATTCAAGTAGGTTATAAAACATGTTTCATAAACAAGTAGACATTCAGGTATAAAACGTTTAGACATTCAAGTATAAAACCTGGTTCATAAACAAGTAGACATTCAAGTATAAAACATGGTTCATAAACAAGTAGACATTCAAGTATAAAACATGGTTCATAAACAAGTAGACATTAAAGTATAAAACATGGTTCATAAACAAGTAGACATTCAAGTATTAAACATTTAGACATTCAAGCAGAGTTTCTTCCAGGCATCTCTTGGTGTGTGTGTGGGGGGGGGGGGGGGGGCGGGGGGGGGGGGCGGGGGGGGGGGGCGGGGGGGGATCTGTCCCTCCGAAGAAAATCTACCGCCTCCCCGAACGAAATGGAATTTATATAGAAAATATATACTTTTAACGCGGTCGCTCCCCCCCCCCCCCTCGAAAATTTTAAGTGTACCGCCGGAGACATTTAGACATTCGAGAATAAATCACAGCTCATAAACAAGTAGACATTCAAGTATAAATCATGTTTCCTAAACACGAATAAATTAAGCATACAAAAAAAGTTTTTTTAAAGGTCAGGATTGTCCGAAGTTGTAAAGTAATAGGATGAAAATAAACCCTGGGGATTTTCCAACAAAAACTGTTGAGAACAAATAACGCAGCTCGATTAAAAACTGTTGACGGTAAACAAAGGAGCTAGAGTTTACAGTAAACAAAGGACCTAGAGTTTACAGTAAACAAAGGACCTAGAGTTTACAGTAAACAAAGGAACTAGAGTTTACAGTAAACAAAGGAGCTTGAGCTGACAGCAAATAACGGAGCTAGACATAAAACTGTTGACAGCAAATAACGGAGCTAGACATAAAACTGTTGACAGCAAATAACGGAGCTAGACATAAAACTGTTGACAGCAAATAACGGAGCTAGACATAAAACTGTTGACAGCAAATAACGGAGCTAGAGTTGACAGCAAATAACGGAGCTAGAGTTGACAGCAAATAACGGAGCTAGGCATAAAACTGTTGACAGCAAATAACGGAGCTAGACATAAAACTGTTGACAGCAAATAACGGAGCTAGACATAAAACTGTTGACAGCAAATAACGGAGCTAGACATAAAACTGTTGACAGCAAATAACGGAGCTAGACATAAAACTGTTGACAGCAAATAACGGAGCTAGAGTTGACAGCAAATAACGGAGCTAGAGTTGACAGCAAATAACGGAGCTAGGCATAAAACTGTTGACAGCAAATAACGGAGCTAGACATAAAACTGTTGACAGCAAATAACGGAGCTAGACATAAAACTGTTGACAGCAAATAACGGAGCTAGACATAAAACTGTTGACAGCAAATAACGGAGCTAGACATAAAACTGTTGACAGCAAATAACGGAGCTAGACATAAAACTGTTGACAGCAAATAACGGAGCTAGAGTTGACAGCAAATAACGGAGCTAGAGTTGACAGCAAATAACGGAGCTAGAGTTGACAGCAAATAACGGAGCTAGGCATAAAACTGTTGACAGCAAATAACGGAGCTAGACATAAAACTGTTGACAGCAAATAACGGAGCTAGACATAAAACTGTTGACAGCAAATAACGGAGCTAGACATAAAACTGTTGACAGCAAATAACGGAGCTAGACATAAAACTGTTGACAGCAAATAACGGAGCTAGAGTTGACAGCAAATAACGGAGCTAGAGTTGACAGCAAATAACGGAGCTAGGCATAAAACTGTTGACAGCAAATAACGGAGCTAGACATAAAACTGTTGACAGCAAATAACGGAGCTAGAGTGGACAGCAAATAACGGAGCTAGACATAAAACTGTTGACAGCAAATAAAGGGGCTAGACATAAAACTGTTGACATCAAATAACGGAGCTAGACATAAAACTGTTGACAACAAATAACGGAGCTAGACATAAAACTGTTGACAGCAAATAACGGAGCTAGACATAAAACTGTTGACAGCAAATAACGGAGCTAGACATAAAACTGTTGACAGCAAATAACGGAGCTAGACATAAAACTGTTGACAGCAAATAACGGAGCTAGAGTTGACAGCAAATAACGGATCTAGAGTTGACAGCAAATAACGGAGCTAGGCATAAAACTGTTGACAGCAAATAACGGAGCTAGACATAAAACTGTTGACAGCAAATAACGGAGCTAGACATAAAACTGTTGACAGCAAATAACGGAGCTAGACATAAAACTGTTGACAGCAAATAACGGAGCTAGACATAAAACTGTTGACAGCAAATAACGGAGCTAGAGTTGACAGCAAATAATGGAGCTAGACATAAAACTGTTGACAGCAAATAACGGAGCTAGACATAAAACTGTTGACAGCAAATAACGGAGCTAGACATAAAACTGTTGACAGCAAATAACGGAGCTAGAGTGGACAGCAAATAACGGAGCTAGACATAAAACTGTTGACAGCAAATAAAGGGGCTAGACATAAAACTGTTGACATCAAATAACGGAGCTAGACATAAAACTGTTGACAACAAATAACGGAGCTAGACATAAAACTGTTGACATCAAATAACGGAGCTAGACATAAAACTGTTGACAGCAAATAACGGAGCTAGATATAAAACTGTTGACAGCAAATAACGGAGCTAGACATAAAACTGTTGACAGCAAATAACGGAGCTAGATATAAAACTGTTGACAGCAAATAACGGAGCTAGATATAAAACTGTTGACAGCAAATAACGGAGCTAGACATAAAACTGTTGACAGCAAATAACGGAGCTAGACATAAAACTGTTGACAGCAAATAACGGAGCTAGACATAAAACTGTTGAAAACAAATAACGGAGCTAGACATAAAACTGTTGACAGCAAATAACGGAGCTAGGCATAAAACTGTTGAAAACAAATAACGGAGCGCTAGTTATGAGAAGGCTGCAGGCGCGGCGCTAAGCTAGGATTATACATCCTGACACCGACAACACAGAATTAAATCGATTTCCCTGAGACTAAATATCGATTTAGGAGCTAAACCTTTTGAAAAAATCTTTCTTTTGTTGTAGCTATCAGGATGTTTGGATCCGTTCCAAGAAATAAAAAAATGCCTGCGTATTTTTTTAATCAGCATTTTATACACCGCTTATGCAGCACTAAGTAAAAATGAACATATTTTGGTGGCCCCATCATATTCTCTACAATCATCTATAATCGTCACGGTCCCTATAAGCAGTCCAGAACAGTCACTCATACCCCCATAAACAAGTAATCACATAACTCACTACACACCCCCATTCACACAGAAATAACTAACTCACTACAATGATTCATACCGCCATACACACAAATTGCCAACTCACTACAATCATTCATACCCCCATACACACATAAATAACCAACCAACTACAATCAATTACACCTCCCCACCATACACACAAATAGCTAGCTCACTACAATCATTCTTATCCCCATACACACACAAATAAACAGCTCACTACAATCATTTATATCTACCGCACCCCCCCCCCCACCCCCCACCCACACCAACAAAAACAACCATCTTAAATTGTCTCAATTAAGCATCAACATGACTATGATGACAAACCTAGAATGCTGTATTTCATTTCTCTAAACTTCAAATTTCAAATTACCCGTCCAAACTAAACATCGAGTAAAATAGCATGGGGGAGGAGAGGATGGTTCTAAAGAGTCATTTTTTCTCTTTGAAAAAAACGCCGTAGACATTTAACGAAGCAAATTGTAATTTATAAATACTTGATGACATTCATGAGAAATGAACTTGCTGTTAACTGAGCCATTTTAGTTTATGGATTTCATCCAGGAGAAAACGGGGTATGAGGTGGAGGGGGAGGAAGGGGGCGCAAGTGGGAGTCATTAATTAAACAATGATGAGGCACCACGAGATGGGTGAGTACAGGGTCACGAGAGACTCATCACGCGCAAGATGGTCTCTCGACGGTATCAATCACACGATCAACATCGCAATGTTGTTGATCAGATAAATAGAAACAATAGATGAACAGAATCTAAGTCGGATTTGCGTTTTGTGTTCGTTGTTTGTGTTAATTGGGATAGGGTTTGTTTAAAAAAATAGAATTATGCAAGAAATAAGTATTCGGGCAAATACATGGAAACAAAGATGATTAAAGATATGTGGGCGGGGAGGGGGGGGGAGAGGAGAGAGAGAAGAAGAAGAGAAAAGCAAGGGGGGGGGGGGGGAATCATGAAAGGAAATATTCATGAAGGAAGGGAGATAATGGACAGGGGGGGGGGGGAAGATAAAGGGAAATAACTGTTTCGTGTGTTAGTGTGTTTCCAGTGTTGCGTTCACAGAGAAATGAAACAAGGCAGATGTACACCACGAGAAACTGACACAAAATTGAGCAAAAAAGATAAGAATGCTAAGGCCCACACAGCACAGGACGTGGTCACTCAACACACCCCTCACGTTACACTCCACACACCCCTCACGTTACACTCCACACTTCACACCGTCACACTTTTATAATCAGGCTTGTGTTTTAAGGTGAACTTTAAAAGAAGAACAGAACTAGGCCATTCGGCATGCTTAATACTTAATATTAGTGGAGAATATGTTAGTTCGTTTGGAGTAGGTATAAGCTGTTATTGTGGTGTAGGTTTGTCCTGTGTATGTAGAGTAGGTTTTTCCTGTGTGTGTGGAGTAGGTTTGTCCTGTGTTTATGGAGTAGGTTTGTCCTGTGTGAAGTAGGTTTGTCCTGTGTATGTGGTGTAGGTTTGTCCTGTGTATGTAGAGTAGGTTTTTCCTGTGTTTGTGGAGTAGGTTTGTCCTGTGTATGTGGAGTAGGTTTGTCCTGTGTATGTGGAGTAGGTTTGTCCTGTGTATGTGGAGTAGGTTTGTCCTGTGTATGTGGAGTAGGTTTGTCA